TCCTGACACTTTGCTTGGTCTCGTTGGGAGTTTTCAATTAAAGTTCCAGGATGTCCAGTCTCTATATTTCCTTCCCAGTGGAGGTCCGGACAATATTTTTTGGAATAGTTGTTCATTTACATCTGGACAGCAGTAGTAGGCTACTTGGAAAATCCTTAGTCAAAATAGTCATCAAAGATGAGGATTTTGAACTAAGGACCATTCATGTCTTTTAAATTACATGGTTCATGTAAGGTTAATTGTATGTAACTGAAGCTATAAGTCGTGAAATCATTTCTCATTCTAACATTTTTTTTAGTTAGCTTATGTACTAGGATAGCGTACATCTACCTAATTAGCCTGCTATAGCTTATTTATATTATATTAGTTATGCTTTTTATTAAATATAGGCCCACAATATTTAATGGGTTAGGGTTAGTTCACCCAAAAAATTTAATTCTGTCATTAATTGCTCACCATCATGTTGCTCCAAACTCCTAAAACCTTTTGAACACAAATTAAGATATATGTTTTTAAGATATCCCTCACGCCTCACCCCTCTATAGATTGCAACATTAGTATTATTGTCAAGTATTCTCAAAAAGTATTTTTGTCGCTTCATAACATTAGGATTGAACCACATGGACTATTTTAACAATGTTTTTACTACCTTTCTGGGCCTTGAAACTGGAAATTACGTTGCAGTCTAGAAAGCTCTCTCTGATTTCGTCAAACATATCTCGATTTGTGTTCGAAGATGAACAAACAACATGAGGGTGAGTAGTTAACAGAAATTAACATTTTTGAGTGAACTATCCCAATGCCTGTATCAATTTGAAGTTCACCTATATCATTACTAATTGATTATCTATTGATTTTTGCAGTATATTTCATTCATACTGCTACACTGTAACACCAACATACGAGGGAAAAAAAGTTTGTTTAACTCAAATATTGAAGGTAAAATAAACTCAATAACTGATTATATTTATCAGAACTCAGATTGAATAAGTTACAGCAGATTTCTAGTTCCCATCACGCTTTTCTGTAGAAGTGTCATTTGTGTTTTTGATGAAGAAGATTTATATATAGATAGATTGGTAAGTGTTTATTGTCATTAATTTGGAATTTTAAAGGGTTTTCTATTTTCTCGTATGTCTGAGTTTTGGTGGCTTAGTGAAAATGAGAGCCTGTGGTTAGGTTGAGGACTGGCCTAATCTGATCAAGACTAGTTGTTGCTTTATCTATAAACAATGGCTGTACTTAAGAACAGTGATAGCATCTGTGGTCTGTGCTAATCTGTTGGAGCTCACAGGTGCTCTGCAAATATTTATGACTAACTAGCAGTAAACAGTAAGAGATTAGGTTCATTTAAAATGTTTGGTTTTATCGGTTTTATACTATTTAACAATATGGATTTGCAAAGTGGATTTGCTTAATTTAAGAAATATTGTTTTTGTGTATTTTGTTCATGTCAGTCGTTAAACATAAAAAAGTTACACTTACAGCATGATCAAATTCTTGTTCACCCAAAAATGAAGATTCTGTCATTATTCACTCATCCGCAAGTTGTTCTGAACCTGGATTCTTCAAAATATCTTTATGAGAATGTCACAGCAGGACCCATTAACAGCTCTGTGTCTTCACTCGGCCAATGTTTTTCCAAATAAAACTCCTGGAGTCCAGACCGAACTTCCTGACCAAAAAATGTTGTGGGCGGAGTTCGGGCTGGTATCCAGGCTACCACTTTTGCGTTTTCTCTTCAGAATCGTTTTTGTGTAAACATAGCCTTAGTTTGCATAATAGAAAATTATGTAAAAGTAATAATTACTCCTCAATGGATCGAGTCCAGACTCTGAAAAAGCCTGTGGTCATTGTGGTTTCTCCTTTGGTTGCACTCATGGAGAAGTAAGTAAAAGAAGAAACACTCGTTATTTAATTTCTAAAATAAGTAAGTTCTGTAGTTGACAACTGTATGCAAAGTAGTTGACTTACTGCTACTGACTTATTGGTTGGAGGTCTACCAACTATCCAATTGAGTGCAGAGGTTTTTTTTTCCTGGCTCGGTTAAGACACGCCTCATAATCAAAACCCTATGGAGGAGTTTCAGACTCATATTCCGACTAGAATATGAGTATGACGAAGTCAGGCTACAAAAGTGGCATTGCGTTATCACTTTTTATTCTGCGATTAGACGAGCGGTTTTGGTGGGAAATCTGCGTGCATATGGTGACGCAAAAGAGTGTGAAATTCAATGTAGTGTGCACTCCAGGCGGCTAGGCACTGCCACACAACAACGCCTGCATACAACCTTACCTGTCAAGCAGACTTTTGCGGGGTTTTTTAAGAGCCAAAAACGTCGTCACTGTGTAAACGAAAGGCACATCCGATAAAATATTTTTACGTTTTCACCCGTGAGCGTTCTCGTGCAAACAGGGCCTTAATGAATAAGTGAGAAATTACGTATTGCTGATTTTTCACAGTTCTTACTCAGTAAGAAAAAATCAGTTTGCACTTGTGTAGCATATAACCAAAACCACTCTTCAGGACCATGCTAACCACATAAATTCTTTTAAATGTTAACCACTTAATTTCAACATTTACTCTCCTGATCAAACCCTATGCAAAGCATTCTGGGAACTATAGAAAACCACTGCCCAGTATCAGTCAATGCAACAAAAATGATTAATGTACTGTAGTCCTAACACAAATGGGTTAGGCTTACTTTATATTTTACCAATTACATTTCATGTGATGTAATAAAATTGATGCAAATGACAGTTGCTTTAGCTCATTTTAAGAAACTAAAATCAAACATTAAAAACAAATATATATATTTTTTTTCTTTTTTTTTTTTTTTTGGTAACACTACAATAAGGTTCATTAGTTAACATTAACTCTTAGAAGAAATGGTTCTATTTAAAAACCAGAAATGGTTCCATACCTGCTTCATATATGGAACTCCAAAATGGTTCTATATAGAACCAATTTTTTGATAAAAGGTTCTATTGGCCAAGTATGGAACCCCAGGGTTCTATATAGAACCCAGAGGAAGCATTTTTTAAGAGTGTATAGAACCTTTTAGGGGTTCCAAATATGTAGCGCTGATAGAACCTTTTAAGGTTCTATATAGAACCTTTTCTTCTAAGAGTGACCACTTAAGAAAGAAAGAAAAAACCCTTGGTACCACTGAACTTAAAGGTGCTGGGACAATTTGGGACCACCAGACTTGAAGGTGCTGCACCACCTGACTTGCAAGAACACGACAGAAAGCAACCTAAAAGTCCATATAACAAAAACACAAGGCACACAAAACCAGGAACATGTAACGTAGGGTCATTTTGTGACGATAAAAAGGTCAGAACTACTGTCAGACTGTTGCAGTGATATATGGCTGCAGGAATCATAACAGCAATTAACACACTTAAAAATGATGGGTTATTTTCTTTAACCCAAATGCTGGGTTTAGCCTGTTGGGCCATTTTCCCTTGGCACTGTCTGTGGGATCTGTTGGCTCACATTTTCTACAGCGGCTGACTTGTGTGCGACACAAGCCACCTGGTGGTGATGCATGCAAACGTCTTCTTATATAAGTTAAGTCTTAAATAAGTTCCCTGTCCCTGAAAAACTAAAACTGAGACTCATCCACTAAAACTGACACTAAAAACATTTTTGTTAACTAAAATAAAGCTCATATAAAATGTAAATATTAGATTAAAAACATTAAAAATAAAATTAGAAATATTGCCTGGCAAAGAACTGAATAAGTTGAAGAACTAAAATAACTAACCATGAGTAAAAGCTGAAACAAAATAAAAATCCATATACATAGTAGTATAGTTTTTTTACAAAGTTTATTCTACAGTGAGTCTAAAAAAGATTGTATGCTGAAAAAAAATCATGAAAGCCAGTGCAAGATGAAGTCACTTAAAAGTGCCCTTTTTTTTCTAAAAGTACATTTTTTTAAATAAATGTAAAAAGAAATATTGTATCAAGGCTATATTGGTACTCAAAGCATGCAAACACAATCCCCTCCAAATTATAATGACACTAATGTCTGTAAATTCAGCACAAAAAATACAGAAATGAAATGGAAAATGAAAAGCATGTTACAGTACATCCAAAAGAGTAGTGCAACTGCTAAATTAAAGTTACAGTATGAGAGATTCACTCCGTCTCAGCATCACGTCTTTGTGTTGGTCCGGCCTGAGGACTTTTCAATTCCTTCTCTCATCACGATCACAGGCAATGTTTTCTCTTAAGCCCTCTAGTGTGCCAGATCCAGCCTGGACAACACTCCACACCTTGCTCTCCTTGCCCACCACCTCTTCGGATTGCTTCCATTTATTGTTGGTATCAGCATTCAGTGCATCTGTGCTCTCTGAACTGCCTTATTTTGTACAGTTGGTTTGATCCCATCATTAAGAATGCATGTAAACAACTTTGAGTCATTGTGTGTAAATGTGTGAAAAATGTGTTTACAGTAGCCTAAGTAAATCACAAAGCAAGTTGTTCCTTGTCTATGCAGAATAAAGGGTTGAATTACAATGGATTCAGTAACTTTTCCTGCCTGTTAGCATTTTGCAACACAATTGCATCACAGTGTGAAATATGTTTTAGTGAGTGAGATTGAGTTTTGCACATAGGCTAACCAGTAAGCTATTTCGAGGAGTTTGAAAGTAGAGTGTGGGTCAAATTGACCCCAACAACCTAATACCAAAAGAGCATCAAAAAGACTTCAACAAGAAGGAAATTGATCCACTTACTATTATTGTGTGGTGGCCTGGCTGTCGCACATCCATTAACTGGTTTCTATTTATGGTCTTCTTCGCCTTTTTCAGCATCTTCTACATATACATGCTGCATATAACGTACAAAATAAATAACCGCGAACTTTGAGTGATTTCACACAGCGAGAGAGCAGTAAGTGAAGTCTGTCCATGACACGCCACACCACCAGAGGCCGCTGTGGAACACAAGGCGTTTGTAGCACTTTTCCCCGATGCTTGTTGGTGCGATGATGTAATGAAGTAAAAGAAGAGTAAAGATGGCGGAGAATAGCGGCACGGATCCTGCCGTGGAGACGAACACTGAAGAAAATGCCGCCGCTAGCGCGACTATCATTAAGGTCACCGTCAAAACACCGAAGGATAAAGAAGAAATAGCCATCGCCGAAGATTCATCTGTCGCACAGGTGATTTTTTGCGCGATTTCGTGTTGTTTGTGGCACCCGGGCGTTCGTTACACCAGCGGCTAACAGCTTTAGCCGGCGAGCTAACGATTGACGACGAACAGCCAGAGCCGAAAATCTTCGCAGTGGATATTTAGAATGACTTTCACTTTTGTTATCACTTAAATGCAGTTATTCTGAGAATTTCATTCATTGGTCTTTGTGTGTTTTAACGCATTTAAAGTGGGGTTTTCTAACTCGCGGTTGTCGTAAATGAAATGGCCTGCTCATGTAGAAGCTTCTAGTCTGTCATAGGTCGCGCTCTTTCTGTTTTGCTTAGTATTTTTGACTTAAGGCTTATATGGATGGACTAAACTGCGTGTTAAATGACTTTTCACTTAAATATGGTGCTATGCTGCAATGTTTGTGTCATTTTATGTGACGAAATGTTGTTTTATGCTTATGTTTACGAGCTTAGGCTTAATAAAAGAGACCGTGATGTTATTCAGAAGTAAGGTTGAATTGATTTGATTAAATGTATAACATTATAACCCGCATGTTTCGACCTCTTAACAGTTTAAAGAAGAAATCTCCAAAAGATTCAAGGCGAAGCAAGACCAGTTGGTTTTGATATTTGCCGGTAAGATACTGAAGGATGGAGACACACTCGGTCAGCATGGCATTAAAGACGGACTCACGGTTCACCTGGTCATCAAAACCGCACAAAAGTAAGAGGACCTGCTTTTTGGGTCAAACCAGAACCGTTTTTTTTTCATATGCAAATCCATATTGTGTTGTAAGTTCATGCCTATGCAGTTTGGGTGGCTCACTTTTAGAGTGTTTTGTGCTTGTAGGACTTCGGCTGGTGGTAGTTCGCAGACCTCTGCTTCTTCTGGCCCTGGAACATCAGAGGGCAACAACGCCGGAACTGCTTCCCCGAGCCCGGTCGGCAACCTGGGCACACCCCAGGGCGTTGGAACGTCCCCGACCCCCTCACAGCCAGCCAATATACTAGGTGAATTATGATTTTAAGTTTGCATTATTGAGTCTGTTTTTAATGTAATTCCATAATATTGTTATAGTGTTTGCGTTACTGTTGTGTTGCGACTATTTTTGTTATTGTTTACTAACCGGTTAAAAATAGTTTTTGTTTATTGAAAAAAAAAACAAATATGTATTAAAATTTCAACTTAAATTAAAATTTGAAATCTTTCCTTGGCAGCTGACTGAAAAAAGTACTGAAATTACTCAAACTGAAATATACATTAAAGCTAAATTATAATATAAAGAAAAATGTTAAAAGCACATTCCAAAAAAAAACTTGCTTTAAATATAAATCTAAAATCTTTATTAATACTTTAATAGCATATAAATAATTAAAAGTACCACTGGTTGCAACATAGAAGAGAGAATATTTGTTCTGTATGTTCATGCATAAATGTTAGGTGAATGCCGTTTTTAAATGTTTATATTGGGGATCACCTTATCAATGTAGGTCCACAAAGTTTTCTTGCAATGTACATGAAAATAATTTGTTCAATTAATTGACTGACTTTTTTAACCCCCTAGTCTAGTTCCTTTCATATAAATAATCATTTGAAAGACAAATGCTGTGAATCCTAATACAGTTCATTGTAAGAAAGCACTTTTATCTTGCTTTTGTTATACTCTGGCTGTCCTTGTGTGTTTTCAGCTGGGTTTGGTGACCTGTCAGGCCTGTCTAACCTCGGTATGGGATCTGCCAACTTCATGGAGCTTCAGCAGCAGATGCAGCGACAGCTCATGTCTAACCCTGAGATGCTGTCTCAGATCATGGAGAACCCTCTTGTGCAGAGCATGATGTCCAACCCTGACCTGATGAGGCAGATGATAGTAGCCAATCCACAGATGCAGCAACTAATGGAGCGTAACCCAGAGATTTCACACATGCTTAATAACCCAGAGCTCATGAGACAGGTATGTAATTGGTCATGTACTGCAGCTTGGAAATGGACAAAGTAATTTAGCTTGATTTGATTTTACAACACTCTGTGTGTGTGTTTTTTTTTTTTTTTTTTCTTTAAGACAATGGAGTTGGCACGGAACCCAGCCATGATGCAAGAGATGATGCGTAACCAGGACCGGGCGCTTAGTAACCTAGAGAGTATTCCCGGGGGTTATAATGCTCTTCGGAGGATGTACACAGACATTCAAGAGCCAATGTTTAGCGCTGCACGTGAACAGGTCAGATTTATTTATTATAGGAAATAAAAATGGGTTGTTGCTGAAAACTCTTAATTTTAATATTAACACAGTAAATGTTATTGCATCATCATTTGAATAGTTTGGAAATAACCCCTTCTCGGCATTGGGTGGAAATGCTGAAAACTCTGGAGTACAGCCCTCCAGGACAGAAAACCGAGAGCCCCTGCCAAATCCCTGGGGCCCCCCTGACAGCAACTCTGCCACCACCACCTCTGGGACAGCTACCACCACCAGCTCCACCACAAGCTCAACCACACCCAGTGTGTCCAACCCTCTGGGCATCAGCTCCTCTAGCCTAGGAAACGGTAATAGCATTTTATGTAAACATTCGTCTTCAACTGTAAAGCAAGCTGCATGAATTGTGGAGAATTTCCAAGCAGATAGTTTATGTGCACAGATTTTGTAAATCAATAAAATTAATAAATGTATTCTAGTTGAATACAGCATAAAAGGGTGAAATTTACATTACAAAGCATCTCAAATGAATTGATTTCATGTTAAACTGTGTGTGTGTGTGTGGTTCACTGTTAGGCATGTTCAACAGTCCTGGCATGCAAAGCCTAATGCAACAGATCTCTGAGAACCCTCAGCTTATGCAGAACATGCTTTCTGCTCCTTATATGCGCACCATGATGCAGTCGCTGGCTCAGAATCCTGACGTTGCCTCACAGGTAGCAAGACAATCATTTGATAGTTCTCAAAGTTTTGTTATGATGTTCTGGTACTAATAAAAATGCATTTTTCAGGTATTGATGAACAACCCTCTCTTTGCGGGAAATCCACAGCTGCAGGATCAAATGAGACAGCAGCTTCCTGTATTTCTGCAGCAGGTGTGCCCAGTTGACATTGTTGTAGATTGTGTTTTTGGTGACTGGATTGTGGTTTTATTTAATTTAATGTGCTAAACTGACTTGTTTTCGGACTCACTTACAGATGCAGAACCCAGAAGCCCTTTCTGTCATGACAAATCCTCGAGCCATGCGAGCCCTAATGCAGATCCAGGAAGGACTGCAAACCCTTCAAACCGAAGCCCCTGGTCTCATGCCCAGGTGCAGTTTTGATTTGTCAACTACCACTAAAAAAAACCATGAAACATGCTGGGCAAATGTAAAATACTATTTTGATATGATATTCCAAATGAATCCCTGAATTAGATTTTTTAAATTTATATATTTAATGTTTCCAGCAAAATCTTTTTTGACGTTATATCGCTTGGCACTAGTATTACATTCTCTACAGAGTGAGAAACCTTAGAGAACACATCCTCTTTCTACTAGTTATTTCCCTCTTGGCTTTGTCACCAAGTAAATGCAGCTTCCTCTAGATTACAGCACAGTACGTTCGTGTTATTCCGTTGTAAACAATTAGCTGTTAGATCCAACAATTAAACAAGCAGTATGCCCATATCTGCGCTTTCCCAATTGAATGTCTTGTCTCTTTGTAGTCTGGTGCCTGGTGGGATGCCTGCGGGTATGCCTGCTGGGATGCCTGCTGGGATGCCTACTGGGATTCCTGCTGCCCCACTGCCCACAGGTGTGAATGTGACTCCTGAGAATCCTCCGCCCTCAGGCCAGGCCCCCGCCCCCACCCCTGCTGCTGGAGCTAGTCCCGCCCAGCAGCAGCTCATGCAACAGATGCTACAGATGTTTGCTGGAGGGAGTGCATCGGTACTCAATGTTTCTTTGTTGGTAGTGTTAATGACGCTTCTTAAGAGTATGGTCGGTTGTACTCACTTTGGTTTGCTCCGCAGACTCCGACTCCAGAAGTGCGTTTCCAGCAACAGCTGGAGCAGCTGAGTGCCATGGGCTTCATCAATAGGGAAGCCAACCTGCAGGCCCTCATCGCCACCGGGGGGGACATCAATGCCGCCATCGAAAGACTGCTCGGCTCCCAGCCTTCTTAATTCCATCAGCTGAGAGCGTGCGAAGGGAGACAAGAAGTCCTTCATAGTCCTTCATCACATAAAGTCTGACGAGCCCTACATAGACAGAATTCCAATTACTCCAATCTTGTTTTTTTTTATTTCCTTTTTTTTTTTTTGTTGCTTCGATCAGTTGATCTCTGAGTCAAAGCAAAGAGGTTTCAAATTTGTTTCCTTGAAAAAACAAACCAGAATCGCTGTGGAATGACATCACACTAACCCCTCATCACTAGTAAGATGGGACAAAGCTTACATTTGCTGAACCAAGTTTAAGTTACCATTCCTTACAATTAGAACATGCTCACCTGAGGCACTACTCGGTGGTTAGGAGAATAAAATCCATCCGCTTGAATTCTGAGGCCGGAGAGATTCTTGTCTTCTGTGAGAATGCTTGGTTTCCTTAATTTCTCTATTTCTTCTAATTCATGCCTGATCAAACCAGTATTTATTGCAGAAATGTAGAGCTTACCCTTTACTCCCTTTCCACCCTCCTCAGTTGACCTTGATTTGAGCGTTCTTTGACATTTGATGTGTTAATCAAAATCTAATAGACATGAACATGTTGGAGCACTATAACACCTTGACTCTGATTGCTTACACTTCAGCTATTTTAGAAAAAAAGGAATGAATTTTGGAGGTGAGATTTGGAAAAGGTGTTCAGTCATCTCTTTAGTCGTTTGCCTTTGTGAGGAGTGTACCTGGATTGACCGTAAAGGCTTGTCATATGGGTAAAGGCTGTAACAAAGCATCAATAAAATATTTCTCAGCTTAACAAGCAGTGGCGAACGCAGAAACCATTTGTTTTGACCATATCATTATGCTTTGAATTAGGAGTTATTCTAGTGCCTGGAACACACTTGTATTGTATACTGGAAACATCATCCTCAAGTTGCTCTGGCAAATCAAAAACTGGTTACAGCATGATAGTGATGCTAGCTTCTCTCAGTGCTAACCAACAGCTATATACTAACAGAGAATTGATGTGAATTAAAATGTTCGACTTTTTTTTGCTGCACATCCATAATCCAATTTTTATTGTACTTGAATTACAATACAGAAACATACATTAATTTAGGTTTGTTTTTCCTTTAAGCCAACATCTGATTTTGTCTAAAGTCCAATGTGAGTCACCCTTTGCAATGCGCTTTGAAATGGTTTACAAATAATGGTTCAAGGATTGCATGATCATGTTCTCTTATAACCACACAAAAGTCATTTGTTCATCTTGATACATTGTACATGCATTTATTTCTGCTATCACAAAGCTTTAAGCATTAAGATTGCTTCCTTAAATAACCTTGGTAATGTACTTTGGCACACAATATGATGAGAAGTTGGCCTTTGAAAACCTGGAATTTTAAAATTGTGAGGTATGATAAGTTATAAGATTTTTACCATATAGAAGTTATGGTAAATCTTATGGTGAATACAGATTCTGTTATGCTCAGCTGTACAAATTGTTTTTTTTTTTTTTTTTTTTTTTGTGGGTGCAGTTACTATAAAAATGATTTTAAAAAGATTATTTAAAAATTATGGAAATTCATTGGTCAGAGTCTCGAAACCATGCACTCTTAAACATATAGGTGTGAATTGAACATTTTAATAATCTAACATGCCTGTTTACCCACAATAACCAACCAATCACTATTAGCAACCTTTAGTGCACTGGAAAGGTTCTATGGATGTTAAAGGCTCTCTATAGACGCCAAATAAAGAATCTTTATATTTAAGAATGTACATTTAAATTATAAACATGTTGTGACCTATTGGGGGCGAGCTAGTTGCAGTTAACAAATTTAAGTTAAGAAATCCCTTAGTGATATTACCCTCAAAGTTTTAACCAAGGGCTGAACGAACACTTGTTGCCGCTGTGCCCTGAAGGCCCTCACTCGTCAAAAGAAGTAAAGACAAAAGGTTGGGAGGTCTCTAAATTATATATTGTATTTACATGCAAATATAACATCGATAATAAGAACTAGATTAGCGGTCAAAGCACACTATATAGTAAAGAAAGCACATTTGCTTGGAAGGCGAAGTAGCACTATACCTTAGTGAATTCCTGTTGGACCGATTAAAAAAGTACTGACATTATTTGTGATTTTATAACACATTTATACATCGCTAAATTACAAGAAAACGTTTTTGTAAAAGTTTTAAATTATTAACGTTATTTTATTTGCGCCAAAAATGACTGGAAATCCCCTTAAAACACCTAAATAAAAATAAAATTAATATTTTGCCCCGAGGCCACGGTTTTGTAGTTCCGAGGCACTATTATGACACTACATTTCCCATGAACCATCAGGGCGGAAGGAAGAAGTCAGCTGATTTTCTTGTTGTGCTCCTGGAAGTTATTGCTGTCTCGCGTACATTTTAAACGTTTATTAGTGTCTTAACTGTCTTTCCTTAATTTAATTTAAATAATGTTGCGTCCTAAAGCATTAACACAAGTACTCAGTCAGGCAAACACCAGTGGAGTTCAAAGCACATTGTAAGTATATGAGATTCAATATTTGTTCATATCCGTAGCTTAGCTGGCAGATACACTGGTATGAACCAATGATGTAAATTTATGTTATTCCAAACATGTTCAATTAAGGTATTTTGTACCCTTGCGATTTGTTGGGTAATGTTGTTAAATCATATATGACAAATGTCATATTCGTGCAGTTGCTCCGTGATTGGAGACTTGAGTAATACTTAAAAATATCGGAATGTCTTTGCAATAGATTATTACATATCAAATCAAATTCCATTTATTTAAAACATCGTGCATATATATATATATATATATATATATATATATATATATATGAAGAGTTCAGATGCAAAAGCCTCTAAATGCCATTTGAAATTTTCTTCTTTAATGATGATTTTTATCAAACTTGTATATTTAAGTTCAGTAATTTCACTTAAATAACAATTAATAGGTAATTATCATTGCCATTTAAGTGAAATTACTGAACTTAAATATACAAGTTTGACAAAAATCATCATTAAAGAAGAAAATTTCAAATGGCATTTAGAGGCTTTTGCATCTGAACTCTTCATATATATATATATATATATATTGTTTTTTTATTTTTATTTTTAATTTGTGAATTCAAGGAGAACTGACTGACATGCATCCACCAAAAACCACCCATACAGTTATTTAAAAAGTCAGTGAGCAAAATGATGAAGTTCTGACAATTTTGGTTGTTGATGTCATTTGGTGTTCATATAGGCCTAATTTTTGGCTTCTTTACGAATCAAAGTCATATAATACGAAGTGTTTTTGTGGTGTGTTTTATTTTAGGTTATTGAACAACGAAGGCTCCCTGTTGGCGTATTCTGGATACGGAGACACCGATGCAAGAGTCACCGCAGCTATTGCCAGCAACATCTGGGCGGCTTACGACAAAAACGGACACCAGGCCTTTAATGAGGACAAACTTAAATTCATTCTGATGGATTGTATGGTAGGACTGAAAATGTACAGTTGGGTTATAGTAAATGATTGTGAATGCTAATCTTTGAGATGTGCAATAACGTATGCATTAGACAAGATATGCACAAATTTAGCACAGCAGCTGCTTCGGGCCATTGCTAAACACAATGGGTTATCTGTTTTTAGAAATTAAACCATACCAGAAATAATACTGACATGATGAACCACTGCAGTTGCCACTATATTTTTTCTTTATATTGCAGTGTATTTTCTCTGTCATTACAGGAGGGAAGGGTGGCCATTACACGTGTTGCAAACTTGTTGCTTTGCATGTATGCCAAGGAGACAGTCGGATTTGGGATGCTTAAAGCCAAGGTGAGATGTGGTGCACATGAACTCTCAATTACTAAGGCTCAGGTTTAGGTTTTATGTTTTTTCTTGAACAATCAAAAATGTTTTTTTTATTTTCTCAGGCTGAGGCTTTAGTGCAGTACCTTGAGGAACCACTAACACAAGTGGCAGCGTCGTAGGATCTACATTTGATGTGTGGATTAAGAGTACAAGATATTGGCCTTTATACAATAATATATATGGCTTTATTTATTCGGATACTCAAGTTCATTGCTGTTTCAAATTATGTGGCGGTTAAACCCTAAACAAGTATTTGCATAAACATGGATTAATACATTTGAACTGCCTTTCTCTTTTTTTTTTGTTTACTGTTTATGTCTCAGGACTTTTTACAGTAAGTGATCAGGCTGTGTCTTATGGAAACTTGCTTCTGCCACAGAATAAAAACGTAAATCAGGTATTTGTGATTTTTTTTTTTTCTTCACATTTCTGACTTTTTTCCCCTCAGAATTGCAGATTTATTTGGAAACTTGTTTCCGCCACAGAATGAAAAATAAAAAAGGTAAATTGTGACTTTTTATCTCACAATTCAGACTTTTTTTCTCACAATTTCAAGTTTGCATCTCGCAATTCTGACTAATTCTCAGAATTGTGTGTTATAAAGTCAGAATTGCGTGATATAAAGTCACAATTGCGTGATATAAAGTCACAATTGTGAGATATAAAGTCACAATTGCGAGATATAGTAACAATTGCGTTTTATAAAGTCAGAAATGCATGATATAAAGTCAGAATTGTGAGATTTAAACTATTCTGAGGGGGAAAAAAGTTAGTGTTTTTTCCCCCTTAGAATTGGCCCGATAATTCGCAATTGCGAGTTTATATCTCACAATTCTGAGAAAAGATGTCAGAATTTCGACATATAAACTCGCAATTATGTGTTCTAAAGTCAGAATTGTGAGATGTAAACTCGTAATTGTGAGAAGAAAAGTCAGAATTGTGATACTTCTTTTTTTCTCAGAATTGTGACTTTATATCACACAATTCTGACTATATCACTCAATTCTGACTTTATAACATGCAATTGCGACTTTATTTCTCACAATTCTGACTTCATATCTCGCAATTGTGAGATAAAAAGTCGCAATTATTATTATTTTTTTTTTTATTCAGTGGTGGAAACAAGCTTCCATACGAAGAAAGTCAGAATTGTGAGGAAAACTCACAATTGTGAGGGGAAAAAAGTAAAGACATTTTTCTAAAAGAAAATCCCCTCTGAATTTCTCCAAATAAATCACAACTGCGAGTTCTAAAGATATAAACTTGCAATTGCAAGGGGAAAAAAATGAATTGTGAGATATAAAGTCACAATTACCTTTTTTATTCTGTGGCTAAAACAAGCTTCCATAGTATTGTCAACAATATGAAATAAATACATTTTTTGTTATAGGTTGTTGTTTTGCCTTATTTAAAGGACGTTTTTATTATGTCTGAAATAATATTAATTGAAGCAAAAACGTATGTACTCATATGTACTTTATTCCTTTAAACGTTGGATGTGTTGCAATGTGTCAAACGATAATACATCACTGCTATATCAGTTGTAATATTTGTGTTTCCACCATATGGTCCACGGGAGGGGCTCTTCCATGGCGAATGTCTTCCTGATCTTGGGAGAGAGCGCTTAAAAGAAATTGATTGGTTGTGGATGGTGTGTATGTCGTCTTTTCATTGGCTGAGCAGGTGCACTATTGCACCCAGTTTCATGTGACTGCACCTGTTCTCGCCTTACCTGTTTGACCTGACTCGAGCGCAACTAAAGTCACGCCCACCTTCCCCAGCTACGGCACATCTCTTAGCGGAACTGCCAGGCTAAATAACAGAGCTAGTTCCTTGTAGAAACAAGTGAACTGACCACCATAAACAGTGGGATTTCATTTATGTTTAGAACTGTTCTCTGCTCTTTTAGGTCTGCCTCTGTATTACAGAGCGGGGAAACTAACATTCTTGATTCTCTTTGGGATTTTGACTCATGCAGCATTAATCTAGATTAGTGGAGATAGATCTGCTTACAAGAGTGGCAATATGGGGTCTGATGAGGCCTACAACTTTGTTTTCAAAGGTAAGATTTGACTCTTCTGTATAGTTACGGACGATGGTAATGCATGATAAACGGAATCTAATGTACACTTAAACTGTCTTTAGATGAAGTTGAATTAGTTTCATTATCAGTATGCATTCATCCCACTGTTTTTGCAGTACTTGTAGAGAATACAACCTTTTTTGTATTACAATGTGAAAACTAAGTGTACTTTGCACATTGTTATACAAAAAAGTTGCATCATTGGTTAGAAACACTTGCAATTGAATTCCTCCTTTAAGTAAAACTCTGCGGATTGGTTTACCACAAAACAAATGCTGTCCTATGGGTTGGTTGAAATCTGATTTCCATGACAACAAGGGTTTGTTTACACAAGATTACTGAGGTCTGTTACTCAATATAGGAGGGGAAATAGGTGTACCTCTTGAAGAAGCCCATTGTGAAACTGTTATCTGCACTAATGACACCAAACCACTTAAAAATGACATGCATTGTGTGTTGGTTTCATTTCGGGTTAAATTGAAATGGCCAAAACGCAATCTACTTAAAGGAAACAGTTTAAAAGAAGCAAACTTGTGATAAATTAAAGGGCCAGGTTTAGTATATTTATCACCTGTCCTGATGGTTTAATCAAAAATGATATGAAAATCTCAAACACTTTCAATGCACTCAGATAGTTGTGCATGAGTTAACTAATACATACTTCTTATAGGCTACTACGTATAATATTTCTAATACTTTTTCATTTTTATGTCAATAAATGTCCCATATCCTGACATGATATGAAAAATCAATGTCAATTGTCTTACATGGGTGGAGTGTTGACTTTGCTTCTGACTCATTTGAGTCATTCTTGTTTGCACTTACAATTACCAGGGTTATCATAAAGTGAAGTGCTCGACTGGAACGAACACACACATCCAGTGTGGGTTTGTTCTGACAAAATAATACTACTTCTGTCGCAAGTTTTACTGAACAACAAGCCTGGACAATTTCCTCATGAGGATGCCGATCTGTGATTGCATAAGACATTAAAGGCAGGGTAGGCGATATCTGTTCTAGAAGCATGTTTTGTAATGCTGGATGAACGTCTCTTCAGTCTTCACACCCTGAAAGCGATCACTAAGTTAAGTGGTCTGAATATATTTATATGTAAACAAATCTCGTCTGTGGAAGACGTAGGACCATAAAATGTCCGTCCAATCATTGAATTCGTTCTCTGAATGCAATGATACAATATCTTACCTGACTGTCAATGTTGCCTGTCATCAGTGTTGTAGTCGAAACCACCTCACTCGAGTCCGAGTCGAGACCAGAGAGAGTCGAGTCCGAGTCAAGACCGAGTCCATAGAGAGTCGAGTCCGAGTCGAGACCGAGACCAGTGAGGGTTGATTACCTAATTTACTTTTATTTACTTAGAGAAATCCTTTTTTTTTTTTTACTGAATTTACTTAGAGTTTAAAAAATATGATCAGTTTAAGGTAAAAAGGCCGCATAGTAGGTGGTGTTAAAAGTAATTTTATTACAATTTGTCATGCGCAGTTGCACACTAGAAAATCACCAATCACTGGGCGTGTCAATCAATTTAAAGAAATATTTTATTAACATACATTAATAATCATGAAAAATATTTTTAACTGAACTCAAGTGGACTTGGGAATAATTCCGAGTCCTAAAAAAAAAAAAAAAAATGTTCGAGTACGAGTCAATTCCGAGTCCAAATGGACACGAGTTCATGACAAGACCAAGACCATTAAAATATGGTCTCGAGACCGAGTCCGAGACGAGTCCGAGTCTCGAGTACTACAACACTGCCTGTCATGTTACGAGTTAGACAGACGTCAGTCACCGAGCACCGCAACCGCCTTTTACAGCTCCTGAACCATAACAACAAGCTTATGCTTTGTTCACGCCAAAACTAACGTAATTTGGAAGAGATGGAAACCCGTGACGGTATACTCGGAGCGGTTCGTAACTCGAATATAGGCTATGCGTTTCAATGGCAACACTATCAACGCCGAAATGAATCTGCAGCAGTCAGGTGATACAGGTCAGTGTTTATGTTCATTATTATTGTAATGTTATGTGTTTGAGACATGAGGTAGTTTAGCGTTGTCTCTCTTGACACTTTTGTTTGCTCCCTGCTGTACGCGTTCATGTGTTTGAAAGGAGGCTTGGCTTTGGAGAAGCTGTTGGGAGGGTGGCATCTTATGCTTACAAAGCTAGCTAGCTATTGCTAGCCTCTCCTGAAATCGCCTACCCTACCTTTAAAGGGTAACTAAACCCCTGGTCAGAGCCTGACTCCACCCACTGGCAATATTTGAAAATGCTGAAAAAGTGTGCTGACCCCAGTAGAGATAGAGGGGACGAAATAGATGCTAAAACACTCTAATCGTTTTCAATACACACAATTCCAATTCCTGAGTGGTTTTGTCGACACAAGATGGTTTTTATACTGCCAAGGGCGTAGCTCGCTTGGTGAACTGAAACCTGCGTACGTCACGAAGTGCGGAACATCCAATAGGAAAATTCAACTGCAGTAGCCACCGTTCAACCTGAAGAGGGCAGCACTAAGACATTTTTACACCATATATTGTAGAAATAAAACACTTTATGCACAAATGTGAAAAAAGTTACTCAAATCAATCACTGGTATTAATAAAGATCCGTTCTTACAGATCATTAACTAAAAAAAGTTTAGTGTTTAGTTACTCTTTAATAGAATAATAATTACAATGAAACATGATTTGGAGTAAAATGGTGGAATATTGTAAAGATAAATAACCCCTCCTTTATTTTCTCACTCTAAATGGCTGAAATAAATGTATGCATTTGGCAGAAGCTTTATCCAAAGCAACGTATCAATTTGTGTTCCCTGGCAATTCAACCCATGACCTTTCACTCTAAGATAAGTCTGTGAAAATAGGGCCCAATATACTGTGTGTGAAGAAATGAAGAAATTTACAATTGCACATTACATTGGGAAATGTCTGTAAACTTAATGAACAATGTCCTCCTGGCAGAAAAATATCATATGCCAATTCCATCCTCTGTGCATTTATCTGTATTTTACAACGGCTTTCTATGTTTTCCTGGCATTTCTGTAGCTTATGGTGCGTTCACGTGTTGTGGTAATTATGGTAAATACCAAAAGCTGACGTGGAAAATGTACATGAACACCCCCTCATGTGGTATTTTCCACTGGGCAACTCGTATAATATCTTGATGCACGAGTTGCCGAGATAACCTTTGACCTTTTCAAAATGGCAGAGAGCAAAGCGAGAGTCGTGAATGGAATACTATTCATGATCTAGAAAATATACAGCATATGAATTACCGTTTGAGTTTTGATAAATCATTTTCTTGCTGTTGCAGATGACTTAAGCAATCTAAAATAGTTTTAGCGAAATAACAGGTCTGGATCTCCATCTTTTTACCACATTACGACAACAAAAGCACTTGAACGCAACACACTGGTAAATACCAGTTCACGCACCACTAAACATGGCACTTGCAATGCCAAGGTCATGAGTTTGATTCCAAGACAATGCATTAAATTATAATCTTGAATTCAATGCAAGTCACTTTGGATAAAAGTGTCTGCCAAATACGTTAATGTAAATGTTTTGAATGTGGCTTATCCAATCAGAATTTAAAGTCAGAATCACTCCTTATATCAAATTATTTCCCAATTTCTTAAATTTAAAAAAAGTCCAAGACAACACATATTACATTGTGGACGATTGCATCACGAGTCTGTAAATGTCTGGTCCTTTAATCCGCAACTAAGCATTGATTTTACACAAAAAGTGTTGCTAAAGAGTGTAGAAATTCTTGCAATCAAGACTGTCATGCTAGTGTCCTCTTGCCATAAGGCACTCATTGACCCCACCCATTAAAAATTTGCGATTAAAAACGTGATTGTTTTGCAGTGTTTACTGACCAAGCAGTGTTTGTGTTTAGTACAATGAGTGCCCTATGCCAAGAGGACACCAAGACACCAAGTCTTGGTTGGTAGCATTTCTCTTAGAAGAAAAGGTTCTATATAGAATCTTAAAGGCTTCTGTCAAGCACTCCATAGAATCTTTTAGGGGTTCCCATCATGGGATATTTGAATGGATTTAGTTTTAATAAAGTCATTTTGTTTTAAATCGTCTTATATTTGGTTAAATTCTTGAATTAAGCAACTCATAAACATGCTTTATCACTAAAAAAAAAACAATTAAATAACCAGTAAAACATGAACGTATTTTTCAATCATTTAAGATATTTCACCTTATATAGAACTGTTTTTGAAGGGTTCTTTAAAAGTAAATAAATAGAACCCTTTTTTACTAAGAGTGTAGACTCTGACTAATTTACACCTCCATGTTTTGTTGCAGTGGTTCTTATTGGAGAATCTGGTGTTGGCAAGAGCAACTTGCTGTCACGGTTCACCAAGAATGAATTTAGTCATGACAGCCGGACGACCATCGGAGTGGAGTTCAGCACAAGAACTGTCAACCTAAATGGTCTCACCATCAAAGCTCAGATCTGGGACACTGCCGGACTGGAGCGGTACCGGGCCATCACTTCTGCGTGAGTTTTTTATATAAGATTTAAGGACCTTACAAATGGTGCTGCTAGATGAGCAAATAATTCACCAAAAATGACAATTCTGTCTCAGCATAATTTACTCAGCATCATGCCATGGTTTTCTTTCTCCTGTGGAACATAACACACTTTTTACAAAAATTAGTTAATATATTTTAGTTAACATTAGGTAATGTTGATCATAGATGTGGAGCTCAAAAAAAAGATGGATACATTTTTTATTTAATTATATATATATATATATATATACACACACACACACACTGTAGAATTTTTTTTATTTATGCACTACCATTTTAAGAAGTTTGTAAGATTTTTTTAAATAAGTCTTATATGCTTATTTATTTGATCAAAAATACAGTAAAAATAAAAAAACATTATTACAACGGTTAAAATAACCGTTTTCTATTTTAATAGCTGAATTTTCAGTATCATTACTCCAGTCGTCAGTGTCACATGATCCTTCAGAAATCATTCTAATATGCTGATTTGTTGCTTAAAAAAAAAAAAAAAACATTTCTGATTATTATCAATGTTGAAAACAGTTTAATATTTTTGTAGGAACCGTGATGTATATTTTTCAGGACTTTTTTGAGGAAAAGAAAGGAGATAGAAATCTTTTGTATATAAAAGTTTTATAGTGAATAAAACTAGAAGAGACTTTTGGAAAGTATAGTGCATATTTGTAACAGCATATTTCACCAATTAATTTCTCACCTGTCATTTTAAATCAAGTTCTATCATTCTGCTAAATGACGCAATGTTTTATGACAGTGTTCTATTCATTAAGAAAAGGAAGTAAATCCAATCGCCTGACCTGATATGATCTGGTTTCCTATGCTTCAGATATTATCGAGGAGCAGTTGGAGCCCTACTTATCTACGACATTTCAAAGCACTTGACGTATGAAAGTGCCGAGCGCTGGTTGAAGGAACTCTACGATCACGCAGATGCTCATATCGTAGTGATGCTTGTGGGCAATAAATCGGACCTGGAAGCAGTACGGTCGGTTCCAACAGAGGACGCAAGGGACTTTGCAGGTCATTTTTGAAGACTGTTTTATTTTATTTATATACATATACAGTATATACATTCATATGAATTGGCACCTTAGTCCAGACCTTAAATTCATTGAAAGTCTTTGGGATGTGCTGGAGGAGACTTTACAATGCACCTCTAGGTGGAAATTAATGTTGTGACGTTGATTCCATCAAGAGGTGCACAAGCACTTCCCAAATAGTCTCAATGAATGTAAGCTCTGGACTCTTGAAAAGGATTCTTCATGATCCTCCCAACCATTCTTACACAATCTGAGCCTGATGAATCACAACATTGTCATCCTGGAATATGGCCATGATTTGTCTTCCTACATGGTTGTTTAAGAAATGAAAAACTACACACTCCATCAATCAGGGTTAGAAGAACTGTTGCCAAACATAATAATCACTGCAATCATGATCCAATTATAGACTATTAAAGGTATACTCCACTTTTTTTTTTAAAATATTTTACAACTCCCCCAGAGTTAAACTGTTGAGCTTTACCGTTTTTGAATCCATTCAGCCGATCTCCGGTTCTAGCGGTACCACTATTAGCATAGCCTACATCATTAAAGTGGACAAGACCATTAGCATTTCTCAAAAAAATGACCAAAGTACTAAAACTCTTCTGTAGTTACATTGTGCACTAAGACCGACGGAAAATGTAGAGTTGTGATTTTCTGATACTCTTCCTGCGTAATAATCAAGTCCTCTTCACTGATGTATGCTAAGCTATGCTAGTGGTATCGCCAGAACCAGAGATCGGCTGAACGGATTCAAAAACGGTAAAACTCAACAGTTTAACTCTGGGAGAGTGGTAAAATGAGCCTATTTCCAAAAAAAAAAAAAAAAAAAAAAAGTGGAGTATCCCTTTAAGCATGTGTCTATTTAAATCCACTTTTTCTTTTTGACTGGGCAGTGTATATATGTTTTCCAGCAACCAAAACTGGATTTTAATTAATATATTATCATGATTTTCTCTCTCATTTTAGAAAAGAATGGTCTACTGTTTATGGAAACCTCAGCTTTGGAGTCAGTAAATGTTGAGGCAGCATTCAACACTGTGCTTTCAGGTATATTGTGTGTACTACTGTGTATTCTGAACACATCAGACCTTATTTACATGTACTTTACATGTGTTCCTTGCCCTCTGGATTTCTCCTCTTCAGTCAGGCTTGAAATAGGCCTGGTGTAGACAAGCACTTGCCTTCATTATCATAATCATGTTTTCATTACTGTTTTTCTCAGAAATCCATAAAAAGGTGAGTAGCAAAGAAGTGACCCGAGGCTCTATCAATGCTGTGACGTTGTCCCAACCTAATGCCCCAGCAGAAGACACACAGGAGAAGAAGGCCTGCTGCAAGAACATGTGAAAGAACCACATTCTGGATGTTCAGAGGCTCTTCACAAGGGTCATAATGGAGTTGTGAATTCAGCTTGTACTGCAGTAGAGATATTATTAAGAAAGAACCATGGTAAAAAGCTAAAGGAAATCAATTTCATTGACTGACATAGCCATATTTGTATTCCTAATATTAGACATTTTGATATGTCAAGTTTTACAATAATTCATGTTAATTTTACATCATATTAAAATGTCTTAATTAAAAAAATATTTCCCCTATATATGTTTCCTCTTAGTATAGGATATTTTTGTTTGTATTATTTTAGAAATATCAAGCCAAACTTTTTTTTTTGACTTGCATTAGATGCTTTTATCCAAGGTGACAAATGAGGAATACAACCAGCATTTCGTCATACTAAACTTGTTGATATCAATACTGGAGAAATAACTTTATCACTTTCCGTTTACACTTTTTTTTCATATTAGTTTTTAATTTGATTAATTTAACACGCCTAATGAAGATAAAAAACATAACTTATTTCCATTATTTAAGACTGGTCAGCACTAAATCAATATTTTATGCTATTAAAAAATATATAAAATATGTATATAGCCTAAGCAAAGTGCTGATTTTTATCTTCATTATTTGTAATGAATGCTTGACATTTTAGCATATTGTTATCATCATTATGATAGTATGATCACTGATTGTGATGTTATCAATTGCTGTTGTTGAAGCTAAAAAGAAAATATATCCAGTATGTAATTTTCCAATAATAATTAAAGCAGGAATATGAAAGAAAAAGAAGTCTGAATTGTTGTTTTTCCACAATGAACTTCAAGGGCAGTTTGAAAAAATGTATAAAGTATAACAACAAAAGGAAATAATCAAAACAATTTATGTATATGGGGTATGTCGGGGTAAGATCGCACACACCTCAGATGTCAACATTTGAGAGATCGAAGTCAAGCGAAAGAGTTTTGAGGTTGATTTATCAAATTTTGTGTCTTTGGAAAATTGTAGTCTATGACAATTTTTTATGAATTGTCACATGGTCCCAAGTGGCATGTTGTGACTGGTGTTATTATTTATAAATTATAATAATTGCAATTAATGGGGTTATTATTCTGTATTCCATGAATTAGATTTACATTTCAGTCATCTTCGCTTTCGTTAAAACCTATAGGTTAGTTGAGTGAAATCTTTCAATTTTAATTTATAGTGTTGCTATTATCACATCTTCAATTACAATATGGGCAATTAAATATGTAAATATTCATATGCCTATAAGTCACAGAATAATTTTATCTTTCAAATGAATCTCTTTTACTTGGATTATGTTTTATCTGCCATTTGTTGTTCAATAATTCAACAAAATTGTCAAAATAAAACTTTAAAGAAGTTTTAGTGTTTTACATTACACTTTAAAATAGCCTATGTAGCTAAATTTTAATGCGAATTGAATCAAAAGTCATTTATACATTCTGGTTTGACCACCGGGGTTATGGCCTCTAAATAATTTAACATTTTGTTCTACAACAACTAAATTATCACATTTATTTCCTATTCTAACACATCCATAAATGAATCGGAAATTAAAGGGCATTCTCTGTTCAGTCACTGAATGGTGCAGCCCTGCTTCCTCATTGCCTCCTACGTGGCATTTTCAGGCCCAATCATCCTCTGAAAAGCATAAGTGAAGTCACACCGTGGAATGTGGAAGAACTCATCTTACACACACCTGTAACGCTTTCTTTTCAGCCATTTTTCATCTGCATAGACCGGCTACATCGTGTTTTATTATGCCCTATGTGTTTATTTAAAGCTGCGTATTTATTGTATTTGAATTTATTATACGTTGTGTTTTCCTGACAACTGTAAAAGACACACCTGTGACGTTACACACCTGTGCGGAAGCCCAGTCAAGCATTTCATTGGATGACAGAGGCACAATCTTGTGACAGACAGTGTTTCTGGCCAATCAGATCACCGGTAAGGCGGGGCTACATCTCAGCACGATGACGTAAGTGTGTGCCTTAAGATGAGACAGCAGGGCGAAACTTGGTTGACGTAGCACAGCAACATCGTATCAAAGTGTAATTTAGACTTATCAGGGATTTGTTTTGTTTGACGATTACATTATATAAAACTGTCGACAAAAGGAGATATATTAAATTATTTTTGGTTCTGACTGTCTTAAACGTACGAAGTGCGCGCGTAATGAAGTGCTCGTGATCAGCTGATGCGTCTCGTAAACAAAGTTTTTTTGGCCTTGTAATAACTAAAAGAGAACATTGTGGTTATCAAGAAGAGCATAAAGTGTTAATATTTGAAAACACGGAGTTCGTATAAGCCGGTAAGAAGATTAAAGTCATGACGGGTAGAGAGGACGAGTATGACTATCTCTTTAAAGGTGAGTAGGCTACCACGTTACTACACTTCCAGAGAAGCTAACTTTCATATGAGCTCCTGCACATCATGTCTTCATATGCTGCATGTCTCTACTTTGTTATAGGAAGTCGGCTTTTTCTGTTCTAAAACACAGTGTAGCATATTCAACCTGTGGTTTACAACATGGCAACTGTTTCAAGTTGGTCCAGCTAGGTCAATGGCTGGTAGACCACCTTGGACTAGCAAAAACCACCTGGTCATACCAGCTTAAGGTGGACAAGCTGGTTTTTGGGACATGGTGACAGGTCACCCAGCTAATGTTCATCTTACAGCAGGGAGAAGCAAGTTACTGTTCCACTACCATGCTAATATATTTTTTTTAATGGCAAATACTTCAAAAGGCATAAATTACACATTTTAATAATTTCAAAGTGTCGTTTTTCTACCTGATTATAAAAAATACCACATGACTAGCTTCTCTTAATGTGTTATAATTCAATATAGATCAGACATTGCTTTTCTGTTTTTGTGGAAATGGATAATTTTAACAATAATGCTGAAAAAACATTTTGTCTTTTGTGTGTAAGACGGATTTTGAGGTTTCATTCAATAGTGTGAGCACAGTTGAACTGGTAAGACCTGTATAAATCAGGTCTTTCTCAGGATGGGTTTGCATTCAGGAGGTTTTTAAAAGTCTCTTACCCATTTGATTCCTAATACAGGGGGAAACTATCTGGAAGAAATGATCATCCATTTGTCTTGTTTAAGAATTTCTCCATATAGTGATTTACTAATCTGAATACTAATGATATTGACCTCTTTAACTTCTGTGTGGAGATTATGTCCTTGGATTCAACACCTCCATTAGTTATAGTTCTTCCCTCGACCTCCATGTGTGTTTAAGATGTCCGTGCACCTTTGGCTGTTTGATCATGAATCAATCAGCGCTGTTCAATCACCGCTCTGCTCTTTAAACATGCCCTTCCACTAGTTTTAAAACAACCAAAGTCTTTGTCAAAGTGCATTCCTGTGTGTTTAACTCAGACCATTATCATTAGAACAAAACATAGCTGAGATGTGTGTTGGTATAACAATAATAATTGTTATTATTTAATCACCTTCATGTCATATTCTGGTCTTGTGAATGTGATGTGATGTTATACGCTAACTTTGTGTGACGAACAGACTGAAATGCAAGTTGTTATTCACTGATAGGCCGTGCATACGCTGAAGCTTTAAAATCTTATTTACTTCCAACTTTGACTAAATTCTAAAATTTCTAAATCCTTGAAGGCAAATACGATTGGTTTTCACATGTCAAAACTGAACGTCACATGATAGTTTGAATATACCGATTCGAGAATAAGATTGATTAGAATTAGTTTTTTTTTTTGTTTGTGTGTCAGTTTTTATTTGTCGCCAGTCTTTATGTGAAAAATAATATTAACCCCCGGTTTCACAGACAAGGCTTAAGCAAGTTTCAGGCTAAAAAGCATGTTTGAGTTGTTTTAACTGAAAGCAACTTGCACTGACAATTTAAAACATATCAATGCTATTGTTTTGTCTCAAGATGCACACCAGTAATGTTTTTTTCAAAGGCAAATTTATAAAAGCTACTTAAATGTCATAATTGAACTGAGGTCTAATCCTGGCTTAATCTAAGCCCTGTCTGTGAAACCAGGCATATGATTCACTTTTTGTGAACTACGAACAAGTTTAGAAGGACAGGGTTGGTAAATATATTTAAAGTTTAGAAATCTCAGGCACACATTATAAACTAATGTTCAAAAGTTTGGGGTCCGGACAATTTTTAAATATTTTGGAAGAAGTATCTTATGCTCACCAAGGCTGCACAAAAAAACAAAATTGTCAAATATTATTACAATATAAAATAACTCTTTTTCATTTTGAATATATTTAAAATTGTAATTTATTCCTGTGATGTCAGCTGAATATTCAGCATCATTACTCCTGTCTTCAGTGTCACATAATCCTTCAGAAGTCATTCTGATACACTGATTTGCTGCTCAAGAAACATTTATGTTTATTAATGTTGAAAACAGTCGTGCTGCTTCATATTTTTTTGTGGACACGGTAACATGTTTTTCCCAGTATTCAATGATGAATAGAAAGTTCAAAAGAACAGCATTTATTTGAAATTGAATTTGACAGTTTTACGTTGTTATAAAAAAAATCTATGTAATGCAAGTAAAGCTTGCTAAATAAAGATATTAGTTTCTTTAAAACAAATCTTACTGGCCCCAAACTCCCTGATCAGTAGTGTAGCTGTAAATATAATTTCTCAATAAGATCTATTCCACTTTTGCCTCTATAAGTGGGAGAGGGAGAGAGAGACATGCCTGTGTGGGTGAAGAAGGGAGTTGCTCATTGGTCTTGCCCTTTTCACTCATTGTTAAAAGCTTTGTTGAAACACACCCTCTGTGTGTGAAACATTTGACTCTAATTGCTATTGTGCGGTGGAGTCATGACGGTTTTAGTCCACGCACAAATGGCATCAGCATGAAAGAGCTCTCAGAGTCATGTGTGTCTCCTGGGTCAATAAAAGCACCATAAAGTTGAGCCAGTTGTCCTTGTCATCCGCAGTGGTTCTGATTGGCGACTCTGGTGTGGGCAAGAGTAACCTGCTCTCTCGCTTCACTCGCAATGAGTTCAACCTGGAGAGCAAGAGCACCATCGGGGTGGAGTTTGCCACACGCAGTATCCATGTGGAGGGCAAGACCGTCAAAGCCCAGATCTGGGACACGGCTGGACAGGAGAGATACAGGGCCATCACCTCCGCGTAAGTGTCTTCATAAAAGCTATCAAGACATCAGCTAATTCATATCCTTTTTTGTATGTTCATTGCACACACATGCATATATATATATATATATATATATATATATATATGAAGAGTTCAGATGCAAAAGCCTCTAAATGCCATTTGAAATTTTTTTCTTTAATGATGATTTTTATCAAAGTTGTATATTTAAGTTCAGTAATTTCACTTAAATAACAATTAATATGTAATTATCATTGCCATTTAAGTGAAATCACTGAACTTAAATATACAAGCTTGATAAAAATCATCATTCTAGAAGAAAATTTCAAATGGCACTTGCAGGCTTTTGCATCTGAACTCTTCATATATATAAATAAGATTCAAACTTGTAATAACATGGCCTTTAAATGCTGCTTTTTGTCTCTATTTGTGTGTACTTCCCAAATATTATATCAAATTTTTAAGGTTCAGCACACAAATTTTTGTCTGGTGTGATTTGTCAGGTGATTAATCAGGTGATTTCTCTTACCTGAGAAATCACACTGGACAAAAATATGTGTGCTGAACCTTAAAAATTTTAAATAATATTTGGGAAGTACACACAAATAGAGACAAAAAGCATAATTTAAAGGCCATGTTATTACAAGTTTGAATGATTTTTACCCATTTTTAAGGCTTTTTCATCTATCTATCAAGATACAATGTTATATATACCATTTGGCATCCTTGTCAAATTCTTTCACGCACTATATTAATAATTTTAATTAATTAATTCTGTTCAGGTTGTAGGCTTTTCAGTTAAAGGGGATATGTGTAGGTTTTTACTACTAAAATCTTCAAGATAGATCTTCATTTGTACATATATGAGGCATCCATAATGTAATAGTAAGAATGACACCTTGACTGTCCACCACAGTTGCCTCTATCAGCCTGTAGGCTCAATTGTGTGTGGAGGAGTTCACAAAATTCACAAAATGTGATATAATAAAACAAATACCACCTTGCAAAATCAAACAGCATAGCAGAATACATCTGAAAGCGACTGACGCCAGAAGCCTTGCACATTCAAGTAAAAAAAAATTACAGGCTCTTATATTTTTACCGTATAGTAAATAATGGGATGCCACAGACTCCCAATAAGATGAAGACTCTAATAACGGTAATAATCACATGAACATTCTTTTTGGTAACCACACTTTTAATGAGCACTTTAGGTTGTGGAATAAATTGTGTATATTTTAAAGCTTTAATAAATGCATCTCTTAAATGTGTGTATTCAAAGGTATTACAGAGGTGCCGTAGGAGCCCTGCTGGTGTATGACATCGCCAAGCATCTGACCTATGAAAACGCCGAGCGCTGGTTGAAAGAGCTGCAGGATCATGCTGACAGCAATATTGTCATCATGTTAGTAGGGAACAAAAGCGACTTGCGCCATCTGAGGGCTGTTCCTATGGATGAAGCAAAGGCGTTTGCTGGTTAGTGATAGTTTGAACTGTAATTCTCATGCTACTCATTATTAAGTGTTTCAGTTGAGTCATTTTCTGGTTAACCAAATGTATAATTGATTACGTTACACCTAAATACAGAGTAAAACTACACCCAAGATACGTAGTGATGAATGGTAGCCTTTAGTTAAACATTTCAATATAAAAAGATTTATTATGTCACGTAGGGACAGAGACTTGTACACTACTGTTCAATAGGTTGGGGTCAGAAAGAGTTTTTGACATTAAAGACAATAGTGTGACACTAAATACACAAGATTATTTTCCAATAAATTCTAGCTGTTCTTTTAAAATTTCTAGCCTGTAAAACATGGTGCCCGCACAACTGTTTTCAACTTTGATGATAAGAGATGTTTCTTGAGCAAAACAGTGTATTAGAATGATCTCTGAAGGATCATGTGACACTGAAGCACAGGTGTTGTTATATTTACTTAATATATTTTCAAATACTAATTGAATTGAACCCATGACATTGGTGTTGCTTGTGCCATGCCCTTAACCTATTAACCCTTTTCTCAGTTATCAAGTACTGAATGTTTGCTAGCTGTTATATGTTCAGTCTAGATATTTATACCAATTTTTTCTTTTGATAATGTATTTGAGAAGCAAGATATAAATTGTATAAATTGAATTGTGTGTGTGTTTTACAGAGAAGCATGGACTTTCTTTCCTGGAGACCTCAGCGCTGGACTCTTCTAATGTTGAACTTGCCTTTCAGACCATTCTTACAGGTCAGTCCTGAGCAAATCGAAAAGTTTGAATCTCATTAAAGCCGTCATGTTTCGTTAAGAACATTCTCATTACTGTGATGAGAAAAGTAGCACTTAAATAGAAGCATTTTATGCCTTTTAATTTACACTGATTTAAAAACAAAAAACAAGTTACAGTATTTTTACCATATACCAGAATTTTTCAAAGAAACACTATGAATAATGAGCATTGAAAACACTCAAAAGTAAAACATTTAGATGCATTGACATAATGAGAATTTGGACGGCATTTTCAAATGACGTTTATTATTATTATTATTTCAATTTTAGGGTTAAATGTGACCTAGATATATTGTCATTACTATGTGAAAATAGATTCATTGCGATTAATTAGATCCAAAATAAAAGTTTGTGTTTACATAATATATTTGTGTGTGCTGTGTATAATAATTTTGTATATATACACACACACATGCATGTATATATTTAAGAAAAATGGGTTCTTAATATATCAAATATTTATATATAATAGTATATACATGCAAATATTTACCACACACATATATTTTTTAAAAATAAAATTTTATTTTGGATGCTATTAATTTCATTCCTTTCCCAGCCCTAATTAAAAATAATAAAGCATAATAAATGCTATTTTAAAAATGTCATTTATGTTTTTAAAAAATATTATTTTGTTGCATTACATTAATGAGAATTTGGCTCTGTGTAGTTAAACATTTCTGCTTGGTCATGAAAATGTATAATAAAATTAAAAAATGTATGTGTATATATATATATATATATATAAATATATATATATATAAACTTTTTCTTAAAAAAAAATTTCCTTAAAAAAAGACATTTGGTGTGTATATATCTATATCTGACATTTGCCAGTTTTTGTAAGATTCAATCAGATGAAAAATGCTATCCAAAACCAGTGCTTGTCTGTTATGAATGATTGCCTCTAGATGGCAGCAAACTCCCAGCCACAGAAATACTCAGCTATTCCTGTGAATGACTGAAACTGTGTTTTGAGGTCAAACTTTAAAAGTTTGACCTCACAGAAATACTGATATGCTTTTTGCAGTTTTTCTTTTGTTTATTTTTTGTTTGGCCTGGGAAGTAAATCTATTCAACCACACAGTGTTTCACAGTTACATTGTTCATTTCTATCCGTCACAATGAACCGCAGCTGAGTTTGTTCCACTGTCAATAACGTACTTTGCTAGATCACTTTTATCAGGTAACTCTCCGTAACGGCGTTATCTCTGCCCGACTCTCTCTCACACAGAAATCTACCGTATCGTGTCCCAGAGGCAGATGTCAGGGCGTGGTGAAGACAGCTTCTCCCCCAGCTCCAAAGTGGTTCCCATTACTGTACAGCCGACACAGAATTCTGGCAAGCAGGGCGCCTGCTGTCAGAATAACTGAGCTGATACAGCGCCGCCATGGGATCCGGGGGAAATCGGCAACTTTTGTTGGGCTGGGTTGACCGCGAGCGTCCGACTGCGTTGTATTCCCTGCGCGTGGTGTGGTTAATATATGTAATGGACTTACTTGGTTATGCCCAGAATCAGTGAGTAATAATCTTCAAAATTGGACGATAAGAGATGTTGAAATTCAATGGATCAAGCATTTTCTCAGAACTAAGAGGCCATGCTTCTTGTTTCAGACTAATTAGAAATGACCAGGTAGCTAGGGCGCTCAGACGTGGCGGCTCTTTTTTTTTTTTCCCGCTCTTTTTGTCACTGACAGTCTGCTTACAAACAATGGGCAGGAAGAATGAGAAAAACGTGCTTAGAGTGTGTAATGCTACCTTTAAATAACTCCTGACTGGTTTCTGATCACAATAGGGATTGACTAGTTGAAATTATATATTTGTTTCCTTAAGTGTGCCACCGCAGGTGTGGTCTGATCACTTTTTCATGCATCGAAATTCACACCTGTTCGGTCAATTCTTACACAGACGCCGCTGTAACGGCTCTTTTGTATTTATTGAATGCAAATATGATCTTGTTTTATCTGTGGTATTTTTGCTTTCTTTTGTCATGCTTCTGTGATTTGTTTTTTTCCTCCATCACTAGATTATTGATCAGAATTTCTCAAGGGTTTCTCCTTTTAGTCATGGCACTCATTTGTACAAGTGCTGGGAGTGTTTTCTGTGGATCAGAGTACTGTTAATAGGTTAAGCTAATAGGCAGATGTACGTGCTGTGGTGTTTGAGTATATAAGAGTGCTGTCTGTTGACAATCAGGGTTGGGAATTGTTATCTGGTTCTCAAAAAACAAAATTGTCTGTTAACAATTTTTGAATGTATGAATTCTGTTGCATTACAATATAGGCATCAGAGCTGCATTAAACCTGTCCTATGCATTGCGATCAAAATGCATCTTAACTCTCGTCAGCTGCGCATTCAAATCAGCACAATAAACTTTCAGGCACATGATTTTTGTTTCCCGCTTTTTTTAAACTCACTTTTTGTGGTATTTATTTTTATGAAGCCCCTAAAATTATATATATACACACACATACATGCATACATTTTATTTCTGTTCTGATGAAATTAGTAACAGATTTGTTATGAGGGTAAAGAATGTAATATGTTTTCCACACATTGTCAATTTTTTTTGGTTTTCTTTGAAAAAGAACCAGAATCATAAGGAAGAGTTCATCCATAAATTAAAAATGTTCTCCAATTGTGATAACATTTTAGATTTTGTGTGAACCATTCCTTTAAATACCTACGATTCCCATCCCTACACAGAGTACTGGTGCGCCAGATATTTTTTTCTGCTTTATATATTAGATATATATACTTTCTGTGGCTCAGTGCACACTTGCATGATGTTTTTTTGCTTTCAGCTGGTTTCTGGGTGTTGTCTTTGACTAATAGTCTGTTTTTCTGCTGGAAAACGAGTGGCAGGTGGGATGCGGTTCTCTAAGAGGAGCTTCTATCATTGGGTACATTGACCATATTATATTGCAAGGCAGGGGAACTGATGGCTTGTGATGTATTTGCAGAGGTTTTCTTACTGGAAGCGAATTCCTCTCTGGCCACCCTTGTTATCTGCTACATGTAACTCGAAGAGCAGCAGGTCTCTTGAGATCTCACTCACTGTCCCAGCTTTTCTGTCTTCTACGCTTTTGGTGTGGTTTTATCTTTTGCATACGTTTGCACTGCCGTTTATATTCTCCTCGCCTCAGGGTGGGCCTGTCGGGGTCGTGCTTTTGGCTTTTTTTTTTGTAGTAGTGATGTAATCCGTTCAAATTCACGACACAAGGTGCTTCCCTAAATGCCTTGCCTGAAAGATTAACGTTAATGCCATCAATCTGTTATGCTGAATATCAGCCGTTTAGCGGGAGACGTTGATAATTACTGCTTTGGGAAGATTTTGTCATCTTGCCTGTTCTTTTCCCAGTGGGACTCCTGAACAAAGGCTCTGAATATGGCAAATACATTTATGCATTTTCAATGAACATGGATGTTTATCGGCTGTTTGTTTTTTTTTAACTTGGGTTTACGTAGACACTCGTAAGCTTGTGATTTTCAGGGTTCCCCCATCTTTTGACCAGTGACTTCCATATGACCTTTGCAGTCGTGAATACTGGATAAGTCAAATCATGGTATAGAGAGATTGCACCCACAACAAGCAATTTCCAGATGATGAAATATTTATGAGCTTTTTGAAATGTTATTAATTTCCATGCGATTTTTAAAAGTCTCTGATGCTTCCACGTATTTCCATGAATGTGGGAACACTTCTATTTTTTGTAAAATTGGTGGTTTTTCTGTGTATGTTAATGACGCTTATGAATAAAATCAGTTTTGTTTCAAATCATCAGGTGTGAGACCAACAGAATTCAGGGTAGCAGTGACCGATTATTCAGTTTGTTTTATTAGAAACATTTACAATACAATTTCTTGAAAGTAACCAAAGAATCAAAACTAGTATGGCATAGATACATAGATCAAATATCAAAAATGAAGGTCACAAAGAACATGTTCTAAGGAAAAAACCTGCAGTTTGCGTGCCCCGTGTAGACACGATACTGAAATACGAAATAAAAAAACGACTCGTGGAGTATCGGCTAGCCTCGTCTATGATATGGCAGACCCCCTCGTTTATCGACAATAAATTGAACACTAGTACCAGGAGATGCTTGACCAAACTAATGCACTAATACCACTATGAGAGCTGTATGAAACACTTCTACTGTGCTGGAAGCTACCAAATACAGACTGTCGGACCGGAGTAACTCATCCCAAGCGAGGTCACATCAATGACCGTCCTATTACCACCCCCCCCACCCACCCATGTTCCTGTCTGACTGAAATTGAAACCACTACACAACTATCATTGCCACCACAGAGCCAAAACAAAGTCGAGATGCGTGTTCACCATGAAGTAAGTATTGAGAGACTATGCTTCTCCGTGTAATCTTGTAAACAATAGTTCACCGCTTTGACGTGTTTGACACACTCTCGGTAATAATGAACTGTAATCATCAGCCCTTGAGTGTAGTTTGTACATAAGCCTCATTTGTATGTGACAAAACAGGTTGCCAGTTAAGAGATGATACAAGTTACATGCAAATAACGCTATTACTGTGAGTGTGCTCGAAATTGCATCCCGTAAACAAATATGATAACGGAATGTTTGATTTGCAGAAAAAAGGTGTTGCGTTTTTTTTTGTTTGTTTTTTTTTTGTCGTTTTTTTTTTTTTAAGTTTTGTCATGCATATCTTTTTAAACGATTGGAAATCGGAACGTCGTTACATGTAGTTGAGTTTTGCTTGTATTACTATGCACAATCATTTTTCTGTTTCACCCTGTTATACTTCAGCCTGTTAATTGCATTTAAAAACAAAGCAATTTGATTAAAAATAAAAAAGGGACCTTTAATTCACTCCGCTATGAGGTGTTAAAGGAAAGGTATACACGACACTTCTGAGTGCTTCTAGTATGCAAAACCGCGGTATTGAGGCACAAAGTTGAGTCCCACGAATGCTATAAAATATTTCTGCCGTTATCCCATTGTTAATGCACACGTTAAAATATAAGCCTTTGAAACCCCACCCCACTCGTATTATGCTGTCAGAAGTGTGAAGGATTTTTCTAAATTTCATAAATAAAAATTCTATAGTTTTAATCATTTTAGTAGAAATCAACTTCATGCGTTTTAGAAATATATTAACTTTTTAATTTATTAATTAAAAAACAAAACGTCTTGAAGTTACTTATAAATATGTTTGCTTCATTAAAGATATTCATAAATAACATCCAGATACTGACCTCTTCCTCTGTCTATGAAATAATAATGCATGTTAGCAAAATAGAATCTTACGAAAGAGCTATAAGACATTTTTTTTTATTTTCCCTTTTAAGTTGCTTTGTATAAATGCTGTGAGGAAGAACCTAAACAGATATGGTGGTATTTCTCTAGCCATGAAATTTAAACCTAAAGCTCACTTTTGATAAAGGAAAAAAAAAAAAGGAGAGAGACATTGGTTGGGTGACCATTTTTACATTCAAACACATTGCCCATTTGTACTATACTGAAAGGCATTATAATTGCTTAAGTGCATCATGTATATGTTCTCTGGTGATTCTATAGGGCGGACGCTGCAGATAAATACATGCAGCTTCGCTATCTGCTATGTAAGAACATATATACTATGTTGGGCGTATAGAAAATATGAACAAATATATCCGTTATATGCAGGGAATATGCAGTAAGGGGACAGTTTTGCTCATAAATGTTTAAACTGCATTTTTATTTTTTATTTTTAGTACATCCCTAATGCAGATAAAAGATAAAAATGGTTCACATGCCTTTTTCATATCGCATCTATAGCATCAATGACTGTTTGTAATCTTAAGCGATAGTTTTGAGTCTCTGAGCGCACTGTTCTTGACCAACACCCCCCAATATCTTTGGTTTCCCAGCATGCTCTGCACATTTGTTTTCTCCAGCTTTGACGCTCGGGACAATCGAGGGACTCAAAAGGCTGCAAACAGTCATTAATGCTCGAGTATGTGGATTCTGAAGGGAATTATTAGTGTAAATTATTGTGTATATGGCATCTAAAGCAAAATACAATCATAAATTGCACCTAAACAGATTCTGCTAGGGCTAAAAAGCTATGAGCTAAAAAAAAAAAAAAAAAAAAAAAAAACGGGGTATTTGTGCATTAGATACTTTATGTTGGGTAAGAGAAATATGTTTGGAAAAATAAACTGGTATCATTGTACAGCATTACATTTAAACACCAGCTGTAGTCCTCACTAAAGTTCTCTGTAGTACAAGTGGCTCTGTTATATTTTATCTACAGGCTGTTCAAAGGTAAATAATGCTCTGTAAAATAATTTTCCAGCATGCACAACCAAAAAGAAGCGAGAGAAGCTGCATGTTAACTATTTAACAACGCCACGTAATTACTGCGAGAAAAAAAGCAGAAGCGGAAACGATTCACAGTGGTTCTTAATGTTAAGCTTCACGTCAGACAACACATTCTTGTTAGACCTGTTAGTCCCAATACTGGACCACTTTTCCTTGTGAATCTGTTGTCGCACGTTGTGACCACTCCCCCCTCTCGATCAGAATGGCTCTTTGCATGAGCAGTTATTATTTTGGATTAGGCGTAGTGCCCTTGTCATTCGAAAATGATCAATTTGCAATGGAATCAAGATGATTAGACCATTTTAAATATATTTTTCATTTCTTATGGGCTGCTCTTAGATGCAATAATATCCTGTCAATTGGGGTGTGTAGAAATGTTTATAACCGTATGCATTCAGTATAGGCATAGGAAACGCTACAAACTAAACTATATATGAATTAATTTGATTGTGATAACCCTCATTTTTGGTTATGTGTTTTCTGAAGAGCTTTCAGATTTTGGGGCATCATTACCTTCACACTTATTATTTCATTTCTATTGGGATGATGCCTTGCGTAATATTACAAACTAGCGAGACTATTACAATTGCTTATATAGTGAAATATATTCAATGATATGCCTATGGTAGTCAGTCTTTATTATATATCTCCCTAAATGTCAATAAATATAGTCTTATTCCTATCAAATAAATAATACTTAAAAAAGGTTTTGCTGTGATTGGCTGTATAAAGTCTTTAACAGTTAAAATGTCTCCCTTCCAAAGCCTGTATTGAATAAAATCTCGCTCTGAATACTTAAACAGCACCTTCTCTATTGATTCAGGTTACATTCTTCTTTGAATATCATCACTCTCACGTTGCGACGTTTGATTTAAGAAACTAAACTTTCAATTTGGGAAAGTCGTCACTGCTTTTGTTTCGCTCTCGAAAAGGGCTTTAATTGTGTAAATACAATGTGCATGGCTTTAAACGATTCTTAGGGTTATCAACCACTGCAAAGCATTTCTGTAACAGTGCATTTTTAGATAAAGATGAACTGATATCTTGTTTTATTAAGTATTAAGATGGTTATTGCTGTTTCCTGGTGACCCTAAAAGTGTTTTTTTCAACAGAATCAGATTCTGAAATTCGAGCTATTACGGTTTGCATAATCAATTCCTTTTTCAAAATGCTTTTGGTTTTTATATATATATACTGTATATATAAATGACCGAAATCATACATTCCTTCAATGGATGAACGTCTGTCCCTGATCGGTGCTGGGGATTTGAAGAACCAGAAAAAAAAAATCCTCTATTCAATACCGTTGTATTGGTGTCCTTTTATTTAAAGGAAATTAAGATGCTATTTCTAAAAACTGTGACATTTAGAAATAACCAAGTGATTTGTTCAAAATGCGCCATCCGTGCAAATATCCCAAAATATAACCCAAGTGCAATAATAACGGTAACATTTGCCATTTGAGAAATGCACTAGCTTTTCGATTGCAAATGCTGTTTACGTTCTTCAGAATAAGGTGCTTTTAAGAGCTTTAATTTAAGCCTTTTTCAGTTTTTTTCAGCATCTGAGAGTTACTTAAAGGGACTTGAAATATATTTCGATTAAAGAAAGTACCTTATTACATTGACACTTATAGAAAGTACTTGTTCTCGTAAACAAAAGAGCAAAACAAAAACACTGTCAGGCGCTAACGCGGCCGTAATACATCAAATCAGACGAGGCGAAAGACTACTGTAACAGTTGAACTGAGCGTCAAAAGTTTGTCAGAACTAATATTTAAGATGCTAATGGCTCAAAGGTAAATCGTTATAGTAAGTTAAATACAATCACAAGCTTACCCTAGCATATCTTCTATAACACCGGGCACATGTGGCAATGGCGCAGAGAGAGGCTTGATGGGGGGGAAACTGACCCATTTCAAACAGAGTACATTTTCAGTGGCTCCGTTCTTTTGTAGTGGCCTTCTAGCGAGAGGAGAGGGGAAAAAAAGACAGTTTCCCAACCTCCGAATGCTCTAATCCCCTATTCCGAAATCCCCTAGCCTGCAATGAGACAGGCAGTGTGTGTGTAATTTGATTCAGCATGAGCTTTGGGCGTTTCCCCCCCCCCTGCTTTCTTGTCAATTACAATTGTCTGATTTCATTGTGGAGTTCAAGGTTGCACTCCGATTGGCTGCTTGTGACCGTGCACTGGCAGGGCTGTCTCGAGGGGGTCACGGCAGGATGTCCCGCACATGAAGGAAGACTCCATGGAAACTTCGACGGCCTGCCTCTCGTGCACGTTAAACGAGGAATTCGGTAAGTTGAATTTAAGAAATGCTTCGGGTCTATCTCGTCTCTCTCTCTCTACCTTTGAAATAAAATCTGTTCTTGAATTTTTTTTTCACCCCAATGCAGGACAAAAGAGGCCCCCTTTCTCCCCATTGGGAATACCAGAATAGAGAGAGAGGGCGATCGACAGGAGGGGCCCCAGCTGCACCTAGTTTAGCCCCCTGCGTGGCGTCCCGTCCATCCTCATTCACGCCACTGTACGCCACCCCTCCTTCCTACAGCAGTTGCTTTGCACCTGGACTCTGATGTATGGCTAATTATCAGCTCCTCCTTGGGCAGGCCATGTCGGGGCGCTCCGGGGATTGTACCACCACTGCGACAAAACAATATACTCTCTGGGAGGAGCTCTGTAGTCTTTACAGCGTATGATGCACCGAGTAGAATTAGAGTAGGATTCCCCGCCCCGACAGCCAGACCTTTTAGAGAGAAAAAAAAAAACTTAATCTAAAGTACGATATGCAACACCTGCCTCGCGACAGTCCGAGGACGCTTTGCAACTCAAACGCAGGACCTCGTGAGTGGGTGATTTACATTGTACTGTAGCTCGAAGTCTTGCTTGCTTTTGTCTATTTGGTCTATTCAGGATCAGATTACAAACCCCCTCCCCTCAATCGCCCCCCTCAGCTTTTTTTTTCTACTTCATCTCATGCCCTATGCTTGCAATCAGTGTTTTACCGAATAAATGTGTGGAAATTGAAGGGGAAAAAAATCATAAACATACCGAGTGCAGAAAAACCGTTAGTAAAAGGAACCTGGAAAAGACCTTTTGAACAACAGAGCGCTTGGATGAATTCCAAGGTTGTTGTTTTTTTTTTTGTTTTTTTGAGCTGACCGATAAATTTGCTCTGAAAACAGTTCTTGTATTGTACCTAATAAGACCTTCATCACATAATAGGCTGAATGGCGCAGAAACAAAACCAAACCAAAGAAGAGAAACTCCCTGTTTTACTCGTCAATTACCCGTTCAAATATTGATTAGCAAAGCAGATACTAATTGTGTAATTGTGTGTTTAGAACATGATCCAAATTTAAAGCCACACCGACATCAGGTCGCATATATATCAGCCCATATTGGCCATTTCTATACCATCTATTTCGCATAGACATCTAGCAATGTAATGTTTTTGACAATCACTTTACATCAATTTTAAGGTGCAAGGATTTAAGATTCTAGTTTACCTTAAAAAAGAATACTAGCTCATTTGCAAGTAGATGCTGGGATGAAAAACTAGACTCCAATCTTAGGAAATAAACTTATTTTGTTTTTATACCTCCCCAGCAAGAGTGTAAAATGTTCACATTATTTCTCCTGTTACCGTCCACACGTCATGTGGGGAAAAAAACAGCACCAGTAAAAAAAAAATATATATATAAAAAAAAAAAAGAACCGAAAACCAAAATGAACATGCTAAGAACTACGTTCTTTCCATTTTTAAAAAAACCTTTATAAAATATATATGTATATATGTGTACATATAAAAGAAAAATCTGAAAATACTTCTTCCTCTTTTTTTTTAGTAAAGCAAGCAGTGTGTTCTAAAATAGCTGCTTGTTTTGGTTTTGTGTTTTCTGAAAAATAAAAAAAGTGAATACTGGCCAAATAAAAAAAGATTAAAAGTAAACCGATACTACAGAGTAAAAACAAAGCACAAACAAACAAATAAAAAAAAAACAACTCTTTAAGAGAATATTCGGATAGCCTGTGTGACCAGGGTGTGGCAGACAGGGCACTCTGGATGGTTTAGCTCACAAATTCGGATGGCGCACTCCATGCAGAAGAGGTTATGGCCGCACGGGACCAGAGCGGCCGTCACTTTGCTCTCAAAGCAGGTCATGCAGTCCCGAGCCACGGCAGGCGGTGAATCCGGCACGGGCAGACGTCCGCTGAACGTGACCGTGGTGGCGGTGGGCTCGCTGTGGGCGCGGCGGGCCTGGGCGTGAGGAGACCCCACGGCGTTGGAGTTGTTGGTGCCGCACGGTTCGGGCAGTCCCGGCGACAGTCTGGTCAGAGGGAGAGGCAGGCCTCCAAAGCTTTTGGAGCGCTGCTGGGCGTAATAGGCCACCTGTTTGGGATAGTCGGGATCGCCCCAGCTTTGAGTGCCCTCCGAGCCGAAGTACGAGCACGGCTTGTCCCCGTTGCCGTGGTTGGTGAAGTCACCTTTACTGTAAATCCCTCCCCCTCCTCCTCCTCCTCCGCTACTTCCGACCATGGTGTCTGAGAAATTCTGGCGGTAGCTGCTGGCAAGCGGTTTGCGCGGGGCCCCCTGGAGCCCCCACACCTGCTGCAGGCGGCTCTCCAGACCCCCGTTGCCACCGTCAGGGCCCAAGCAGTCGTTCTCATTGTTGTGGTCGTGCAGGCCGCCCGTGCGGAAAGCGATGTGCGCCTCGATTTCCTCCCGAGCCCGTTCGGCGTTCCCAGGGGAGCCGGTGATCTCGAAGACGGGGTCGCGGTCGCGGCTCGGGGTCACGATGTAAGTGCACGTTTGCTGCTGGATGCGCTTTATAGTGGAGCCTTTGGGTCCGACCACCAGACCCACGACGCGGTAGGGCACCCGCACCTGTATGGTGGTCTGGCCGGGGAGCGGTGCGGGTGGCGAGCCGCTGAACGAGACGCCCAGCTTGTTCCTGGAGGCCCGCAGCATGGAGAAGTGCTCCGCAGCGGAGATGATTTCACGTCTGGCCAGGGCCACGTCCTCTTTGCGGCCGGTGATGAGGAAGACTGGTTCTTCGCCTCTGACGGGGGTCTTGATGTAGGTGTTCGTCTTTGCGCGCAAAGCTTTGATTTTGCAACCTGTTGAGTGGAGAAGGAATATTATAGTGGTGGTACTATTAATATCTGTCTATTAACACTTATTTTGCTGGCTTGTTTCCAGGTCAAAAGGTCACGCATGTGCTGAATCTGCAGCAGAACTCATTCACAAAGTTTTTCATGTTCTGCATCTCTCGAGTGTAATTTATTGACACATTTGGGATAATTTGATTGTGTTTTCAGGTCTCATTAAAGGTATAGTTAACGCAATATATCATTGACTGTGTTTTATAATTTTACCATGCTCTAATATACAAAAGTCAGTCTGGGCCTGCCCTCGCTTTTTCGATTGTAACCATTATAACAAATACACGTTTTTGTTTTTTTTTCTCATGATAAAAATTAGCATTGGCTTTACTTTTTTTTTTGTAAACAATATATTAAAATGAAACGATTTAGAGATTAGCATTGTCTTATCTATTGTATATACAAAAGTACAATTAGGATTGTCTTGCAATTTGTTGTATTTGATTAAACCCACTGAAGCTTATTCATAAACCGAATCAAACCTGCGTTAATCTTTTTTTCTTTGTCGTTTCTAACTATTGATTATACAACGTGCACTGAAATTTCTTCAGCTCGTGTTTAATGAATGAGGCCCAAAGTGAATTTAGAAATGGCTGCTCACTCTTCTCTGTTGTGGTAATCGTACAAATCGATTAAAACAATGGCTTTGTTTATTTTTTTTGCTGCATTACACAGTCGCGGTAATATTTTTGCTGTTTATTCGTAATATAGAAAGAAATGTGTTGGCTGAGAAGTATTTACCATAATAAATCCTATTTACCTTATAAAAAAATCCAGTCTGCATTGACGTATCCTAATAAAATTCAAACAACAAAAGCTCCTAAAAATCCCTGTTGTCTGAATGACGTCTCCCCTGCAAGAGTGCCATGTGCTAACAGACAGTCGCAGGTACTATGATATTCAGCACTGAAACAAATGTGTTTTTAGATGTAAATTCCCCAATTAATACCCCATAAAGTTATTGTTGGCATCTGAATTCATAGCAAGGTGTGGTGCTCCTCCACAGCATCTGCCTCGTGTGCAGCACCAAAGTATTTATTAGCACCTCAGTGGTGTCTTATCAAGAGTGGGGTGGCTTTCTCCGCCCAGGGGCCTGTTCAGTGGATAGATCTCTGCACACTGGTTTCATGCCTCATTGTGTAGAGCAGAAGCTAAAAAAATAACCTGGATGGACTGTCTAGCACTGACAGCGGGGAGCACAGATTCCCATCGTCCCCCTCGCTGCAGGAGCACATCTCCTAACAGGCATGGCAGCCACTGCAGGTGAACAAAGCACTGGAACCTCACAGCTCAAATTCCCAACTAATGGCGATAACAAAGATACATAAGTGTGCTGCTTTTTTCGCCATCACTCTCGCTTGTTATTATCAGGCCAAATCTATTCATAGAAAAAAATGCAATTAAATTAACCTAATAAAGGCCAAACAAATGTCTAGTTATTCAGCTCAGGATGTGGCCGTTATATCAGTAACTAATGAGGTAAAGACCCCATTTCAAATCCTCTTAATCAGCAACTTGCAATCCACGCGCTCATCCCAAGTTCACTTGTGAAACACGCGGGCCACTTTTCTAGACAAAGTCGGTATATGCAGGGGGACATAGAAGATATTGCACTTTTAATGAATGGACGGTGTGCTCCATAGAGGCTTCCTGACCCCATGCTTTGAGTACAGGGCTGTATAGTAGACGGGGCGTGACTCTAATACAGTCTTTATAGTCTGTCTCTCCAGGACCCAATGCAACATGGCTTTCTAGAATACTGTGATTTTAATGTATCATGAAGTGACTTGTTAATCACAACGAGACAGTGTCAGACGTAACCTCCTCAACTTATTCCAAATAACACCACACATTCCAAAATATAACTTTTCCGCCAAGTCATGTTTGTATTTGCCCTCAAAGAAAGCACACAAGGACTTTCACTTCTTTGTCTGACAACGCTGTCAGAATTTCAGCACTTTTAGTTGTTCACGAGACCCACTTTTACGAGCTTCGCGATATATTATGGATATAAGCGGTGGACTTAAGTTCTCCGACAAGTTCTCTTTGTCTGAGGTAGCCTAACGTAAACAACGTGGTGCTGCTGCTGCTGCATATGAAAGCCCGCAGGAACTACAGAGGCGCGCGAAGGAGCGAATGACACAATGTATCCAGTCAACAAAGACCGTTGACTGTTACATTGTATCCAGCGAGCGCACACGCGTTCCATTTTCTTTTTCAAAAAAACAGAATTACGCGCCCTCAGACGACAAAGGGAAAGCAGCGTGCTGACATTGAAGGCGTGGATGTGGAATAACGCCTTTGTTCTCGTACCCACTGGTAACTTTGCTTAAAGCTAAGAGGAAATGCCCATGTATATGGCAATCTACGCGCTGAAATAGTGGCACAGCTCGGCAAAAACAGACACGTTAAAAAGCATTACCACTCCCTTTTTTCTTTGTTAAGACAGCTCCACACTTAGTTTGAGCCGCACACCCTGGAGAACGAGTTTGAAAGCATGTGAAAGTGCGCATCGTTGTATTTACCTTGCCTCCCCACTATTTCGGCCACATGTTCGGAGCTTGGCACGGGGACGCACTCCGTTATGTTGCAGCCCCGTCCTTTGGTTTCGGTCGGCGAGCTCTCGTACAGGGCGCACAACTTATTCTTCCCTTGTAACATCCCTGATTCAGATGGGATGTGATTGTGGTGGTTATTGTTACTCCTGTCTTGAACTCCTCCACCACCACCACCACCACCCGCAGGAGCCCCGTCCTCGCCCTCTCCAAGACCCAGCAGCGACAGTTGGCCCAGCGCAACTCTAAGGGCACGGGAATCATCCTCGTCCTCCTCGGGCGGCACTAGGAGACCCTCGCTACCGAACCCGGAGCCGGCTAAATCCCCGCCGTAGCCCCCATTTTTCTCCATGATCCCTGCTAGAACCAGCAAGCTAGGCATGGCTAACAAAAGAGTGTGAGACAAAGACACTGGTAAGAGACTGGAGAAACAGCACCCTCGCCGCCACCCCGCCCCCTCCTGGTCCAAGTCCCCCCTTTGCGCTAGTCCCTCCCACAGACCAGCCCCCTCTCCGGTTCCGATACGCAGAAGGCGAACGGGACACAAGGATGTCTGCGCCGAGAAGGGCCAGGCTAACTGATGCTCCACCCCGTCTGGTTCGCTCATTCCCCGCCTATGGCAAGCCGTTGCAGCATGTATTCCCCAGAATCAATCGATTTTATGACACTGAGCGATATTTCATTTTTTTTTTTTTTTTTTTACGATACTGTTTTATTTGTATGTTTTAAGTAACAATAAACTAAATAACTATGCTTTTGTTCCACTTTTTGAATAAGTAATATATATATATATATATATATATAAACAATAAAACAAAAAAACAAAAATCAACAACAAAAACATAAGACACATTAAATATATACATATTGTGATTGTTTTGTAGGGCCGGTGCCCATCACTTGTTATAGGTCAACTAACATGATCATTATAAAGGTGTTTAAACAACAAAACAACATTCACTTCCACATATTTGATAATCGGAATACATCCTATAGTTCATGATACGATCAACAAAATATATTTGGGAATATTTTGAATAAAAAAGAAAAAAAAAAGGATAGCTACATCTGTCATAACAAGACTGCATTTATTTATTAATAAAAGTAGAATTAATACAGCAACTAAATTCTTTTTAATCATTAGCCTACTTAAGCACAAAACATGGTCTGTAACTAATTATTTTTACTCTTTTCGTTGTTAGTACTGTTTATCCATTTACACTTATGGGGCTTTTTTTTGGTGAAATTAATAATTATGAAAGCTCAACAAGTGTGTTATGCAAGTGAGTCACCATCATTCATAAAAATATTAATGTGAACACCAGTGCAGTACAGCAGCATTACACATAGAAGTTTGTAGCCTATATGCAAATAGTTTGCTTTTAAATGTACTAATGTACATTTTTATAACATTGTGTTAGTATTTACAGTGCATTTTGATGCAGTTTGAAAAACATAAGAATAAATGTTCAAACAGCTTGCCATGTCCTGCCTCGCTGAGACAGTCACCATCCATCTATCCATCCATCCACCCATCCATCCATCCATCCCGTTGCATTTCAGACTCCTTTGTAGCAAACCACAACTCACTCCTAATGAATAATCCAAAACATAATTTTATACGTAAATATTAGGCTTCAACATCACAGTTCATCGTATTCTGTTGTGCGGAGAGGCGTGTCAGAAATGAAAACACATGTGCGCCTGAAAACAACACCGTCCAGCTGCTTTCTACATTTTCAACAACATCACTTCTGTTATGATGTATCAGTGGTGAGTCATATCATGTGAGAACATTCGCGTTTTTTAAGCAGAGGACCTGAAACATCTGTCCCCAGTATTTCCCCAGATTGAAAGAGTTAAACTGACATAATTCGGGGGTCCGCCCACCCTGTTTGCCGTTGGTTGCAGCGGGTCACTGAGTTGTTGTTTGGACTACCGTTGCGCATGGAGTGCTGTTACACTGAGGGGAAGAGCACACACACGGACAGCGAGAAGAAGAAGAGACACGGGGAGTTATCACACAGACGTTGCAGGATCTGCACTGCACATTTATGGCAGAGAGAGAGAGAGAGGGAGTGTGTGTGTGTGTGTGTGTGTGCGAGAGAGAGAGAGAGAGAGAGAGAGAGAGAGAGAGCACGTGTCTAGCAACATCTCAGGCAAACCTTGAACAAAGAGCGTTCGTGTTTCCACCTCAGACGCCACTGTCCTCATGATGCCACGCCTGGCGGCAAAGATGAAATCTGGAACAACAACAACAGCCACAACAGCCGCAGCTAGAAGAATAATAACAGTAATATTAATAATACTAACACAATGTAGCTTGAATTGTAGAACTGATACAAAAATACATTTAGTTAATATTAAGCTAATTAGTAACACTCCTTGTCACACTTTTTACCCCCAGTGAATATTTTCACACACACAAAAAAAAAAATAATAATAATAAATAAATAATAATATTATTATTATTCAAATTTTCAGGGTGGGTTTATTTGTGAAAATCAGTTAGTAATCTACTTATTTATACAACGAAAGAGCTTGGACATAAAAATCTATCTATCTTTGAAAAATGCATGTGAATACAAAAAATAAGCATTTAATTCATTTAACGTGTGTTCATTTTCATGTAACGGATGTGTTGACCTTGAAGTAGGGCATCTAATCACACTATATGGGGTAAGTTGTTACAGGTCAAACTTATTAAATATGATTTATAAGCGAGCTGGGGTTAGGTAACAGTTCAAACACTAATAAAAATTTGGTCAACAGAAGTTATAATTAACACATGCTTAAAATTGCAACACTTACAGTGTGTGTGTGGATGATGATATGCAGTTTTAGATTTATAAATGTATGCAATGCATCAGCTGTGATAGTGACAACATGAGACTGTAGTGTAGTTTGCAAAATATTGCAGCTGGTTTGATTTACATGCATATTGACTAGACAAAATCACAGAATGTCATTTCTTTACCATAAAAAGCACGAATATACTCGACTAATTTCTTATGAAAGATGCTTAAGAAATTCTTCTCATGGCAAATATAGAGGCGATCAGCTCTCTCATCCTTTGCATATTCAGTTTTCTATAGTGTTTTTAATTGACCAGTCAAACGGTTCGGCACAGTCGATCAGATGGCAACCCTATGAGATGTACAGGACGGGTCTTTCTCACACATTCTGGATCAGAGCCAGCACCTTAGTGACAGTCAGTATGTCCAGAAGGTCAGTTACCTCCATTAATGGTGTCTACTGGGAGCCCAAGGCCTAAATCAATATCAACTATGGATAACAGATCATGTTTCCTGGCCTGTCTGTGGGTCTTTTGTTTATAAAGTCCCTCTTTTGTCTTTCAACTCAGAACCTGCGTGTCTAGTCGTTGGAAATGTCTTGTGCTGAAGATTCTCTCTCCTCGCAGAAGCAATATGTTTGCATATACTCATGTTGTACTTACTACACCCACATACTGTAAATGATGACCTAATATGACATCATCCAGCAGAGCATTTGTCAGTCCGCATGCCATGCCGTAATGTGGTGTCATATAACAATGAAATGAATCAGTCAGCATTAATACCTCAAACCTAATACATAGGCTAATAGAATATATTGAAATTATTTTTTTCTTGAATTTCTTGATAAAACTGTAATTTCAAAAAATGTTTTTCAACTAATTATGATTTCTTATTATATTATACGATATTATCAGTTTAGAGAGGATGCTGGAATTCTGATTACATTATTCATTTTCATGCATTTTTGTTGTTGTTGTTGTTGTTGTTGTTGTTGAGAATATTAAAAACTAGTAATGCAAGCATGTGGAAAAAGAATTTCAGCATCCGGCCTGATTAATAAATCAATCACACTTATAGTTTTGATTTTTGCTTATATATTTGTAAATAATTATAATAATAAATAACAATGAATAATAGTATATAATAATAATGATAAAATATGTGTTCCAAGAGATTCTAACTCCATTTATGCCTTTTTATTTTCTATTTTGCAATTACTTATTTTATCATTTATATTTCAAGAGATATTAGTATGCACTCAGGTCTTCCTGCTATTGAACACTATGACTGACCCTTCCCCCTCTGCTCTCTCTCTCTCACACACACACACACACACACTCGGGTCTTTACATTGAGTGTAAATGCTTCTCTGAGCTGGGAATATGAGTCAGGTGAGTATGAGCTCATCTCTTTTTCCTCAGCTATGAGGTAATGTATCTCTACGGGACTCTTTCTCCTCTGTGAGCCAATCATTAGAGGTGCTTCACCACTGACACACCCCAGTGATGATTCAGATTCTCACTGTCACATGATACTCACACCCTCAGGTGATGGAAAGCACTGCCTGCTGCAATACAATAATTATTTATGGTCCATTCTTAAAAAAAAAATAAATTATTAGAATTAAGACATTATTTTGTATTATTATTATTAAAACTAATCTTTAAGCAGCCTTTAGATGATTTTTTTTAAGATTGCAAGAAACATAAATTGTCAAGTGTGTCCAAACGTTTGACTAGTAGTGTAGCCTAAAAAGAAATTATTTTTGTCACACTTTCAAGGTTAATGTCTTAATTTTTTCGTATACAATTTGTTTTGTTAAATGTGATCACTTTTATCTAAGTTAAACTATTCACACATAAATATGTGTGTCAAAAAATATAAAATCAAATGATTTGATTTACTTTAATTTTAAAAACACATTTTCGGTCTCAGCAATGCACCTTTAACTGAAAGAAGTTGTGCTGTTGTACAGATAAGCGTCCACTTACTCCCTCTGGCGGCTGGAAACACAAACTGCAAATACCCCGCACTGCTAATTCAGCAGTTGATTCTTAGCGACATTCATATGATTTTGTCCATAAATTTTACTGACAGGAATATCCTCTAGAGCATCAACTGTAGGCCTACTTAAAATTTTTAATCATACAAATAATAAATATTTTTTTGTTTACTTCTCATCTATTCATTAATGCTGTGTTTAAAGTACTTTTGTATCCATACACCCCACAATTCCTCAACTACACCATTAGCTTGCATATGAAATGTTATTTTTTTTTATGATACATTGCATTCATGCTCTAGTACTAGGCCTAAATTTCTGTGTAAAAATTTTCAGATTTATGCTGGATTTTTTGACACATATATATAGTAGATATACAAATATATTTAGTTTTTTTTTTTTTTTTTTGTCTCACATTTCCCATTCATTTCAATGTGGCGTCATATTGACCCCGAAGTGTTTTCCAGCCCCTGCTTTGACTTCTGGGAAATGTTATCAAACAGGTTGGTAGACACAAGAAACATGCAGGAATGTACATAAGAATGCATTTATTTTTAAACTGACGTATTTCCTCAAAACATTCAAGAGAATTACACACCCAGAAGGTGTCTTTATGGAAAAAAAAAAAAAAACAGCAACTCGTTTTTTTTAAATCATATTTTTTTCATAACCATAATCAATACATATGATTAAAGTTAGTATACAGATATGTTAAAACATTATAATGTTTTTCTTCTATATTACAACAAAATCTATATTAGTAAACCAACTTCCTGTGTTCTTGAACTTGGATGAACATTATTGGTGACCAAACACACCCTCTAGTGGTTGAACTACAAACTGAAAGAAACTGCCGCTGTTTTAAAAGAAACATCCGCAACACATGAGATCTCCATCAAGTCTTCTGAGGCATGAAGAGCAACTTCTGAGCAGTAACAGTTTCTTCACAGTTACCGAAAGTGAATCTATAGTATGTGTTACGTATAAATAGCTTTATATTCATTTAGAAAACAAACTCTTTCATTTCACTCAATTCAGTAAAATATAGGCATATGTATGTATGTATTGTTTGATTATGATCAGTGTTGGAGAGTTGTGAGAGCAAAGAGTTGTGTTCGAGATATTTTTTGATTAATAATTATATTTTACTGAACTGAGTGAAATGTAAGGAGTTTGTTTTCTAAATTTAGTAATAATAAACTCATTGCCAATCTTTTAAAAAGCTATTCCTAAATTCCCTAAAAAGCTAGTAAGCAAAATCCACCTTCTCCCTGCCTGAACAATTTGTCCTAAGATCTGCGCCATTGTTGGTCTGAATAAAACAAATCTGTCCACCATTCTATGGACCGGGAGACCATATGGATTCATATTCATGGCTGCAAACACCTGAACAGGGGTGATGTTGGGAGGGAGTCTCGCTCTGGGCACGATCAGGAGCTCTGCTAGGATTTTCCCCATCGCCCACACATCAGAGAACTGGTCTCTGGGTTTTCCTTGGAAAATCTCGGGAGCGGAGTAACACCAATTGCCACCTTCTGCGCCAAAGCAAAGGCCGTTCTTCTGAAATCTGGCGAGTCCCAAGTCAATTATGACGGCCCGATAAGTGCCGCGTTCCACCTGTGAATATGAGACACACTGTAATGATGATGACTGAGCTGTGTTATCTGATAAGAGTCTACGATTTTGATAAGAATCACTCATGATGAGAAGATGCAACTGAAAAACCACTGAAGTTCATTCAGAACTTTTCATATTGTGATGTAGTACAATCTTCAGAATATAGAATTTTATAGAAAGAAAAAATATTTTAAATGGATAGTTCACTTTGAAATTAACTTTTGGTATGTTTTAGCTTACCTCAAGGGCATCCAAGATGTAGGTGTCTTTGTTTCCACAGTATTTTCAATTTTGATATTTTTAGGTCAAACCGTTCTTGTCTGTCAGTCATATAATGGAGGTCTATGGTCACCACCTCAAAGAGCATGCACAGAGAAGTCCAAATTAAACATGATTTAATGACTCATAAATGTAAGTACACGTTGATGGCCTAAGACACGAAACAAGCGGTTTGTGTGAGAAAACGAACAGTATTTATATCGTTTTTACCTCTTGTAACCACAGCCACGTCCAAGTGATCTGGCGCTTTGTGGCTGTGGTTATAAGAGGTAAAAACGAAATAAATACTGTTCGTTTTCTCATACAAACCGCTTGTTTCTTGTCTTAGGCCATCAATGTGTACTTACATTTACAAGTCATTAAATCATGTTTAATTTGGACTTCTCTGTGCATGCTCTTTGAGGTGGTGACCATAGACCTCCATTATGTGACTGACAGACAAGAACGGTTTGATCATATCAAAATTGAAAATACTGGGGAAACAAAGACACATACATCTTGAATGCCCTTGAGGTAAGCTAAAACATTTCAAAAATGAATTTCACACACAGCATCTCACCATGATGTTGTCAGGCTTGAGGTCCTGGTGGACGATACTCTTGCTGTGCATGTAAGCGAGGCCTTCACACATACCATTAATTATGGTGATTATGACTGGCTTTGTTAGCTGTAGAGAAAGAAAATAAATAAATATATGTAGTCTGTGAAGAACTGTTCATATCCATGGAAACTTTCATTGCAAAAAAAAAAAAAAAAGGTTCCTCAGATTATTAAAATATTTTTACGCTAAGGAAAAATGTTTACATAATGTTCTTTAGGGGTTTCAAAATAGTTCTTCTATTGGATCACAATAAAAAAAACTTTTGGAAACTTTTCAGTAGCACCTCAATGCAGAACATGAGATCCACGGGGAGGAGTCGGATCATGATCCAAGGGGTGGAGATGGGTAGGATTAGGGTTGGGTTTAGGGATTAGGGGGCGGAGTTGGTTAGGTTTAGGTCTATGTAAGGTGGGAGGAGTTGGATCTGGATCCGACTCCTCCCCATGGATTTCATGTTCCGCAGTGAGGACCATCTCAAACTTTTTGGATGAGATGCATTATTTAATGGTTATTGTTTATATGCCTAGGCTAGTTTTATGTAACTTTGTTTGCTAAATTTACATATTGAGTCAAAACATTATCAATCCTTATTCTAAAACATGTTCCTGATTCACTATCAAGCCTATTATCCAGTAAGTGTATATTTTCTGCCAGAATGGTTTTCGCAGGAAATTGCATATATCGCCTGATACTAGAATTTTTAACTTAGATATGAAAAATATCGAAACTATTTTCGAAACCACTAGGAAAACCTGCCATGTATTTTTTCCTCACCTAAATGTTCGCTCACTCAATGTATTTGTGCTTTTACGATTGGGTAATTTTGTTGCTAAAAGGAAGCATAATTTCCAACTCTGAATTGAATAAAATAAAAAGACAAGTTAAATAGGCTAAAGAATAATCCTTACAATTAAAGTTACAAAAGCTATTTAGTCAAGAGGGTGAAATCTGCGGGAATTACATAATGTGCATTTGTTATTCTGGGCTGAAATTCAGGTCCTGTAACACCAACTTTGTTCAACCGCAGCGAATGAGATGAATGAATGAGAGGAAGGTGTGTATCAACTTGCTGTCGGACAGAATCAAATTGAAACTGTGGAAAATGAGTATTGGAGCCATTTTAGATATTTCAGTATTGATACCTATCAAAAATTATGTATATATTTGACAATACTATATGCAGCACGCTATACGCTCAACAGAGTCTGCTGGCAGCAAAAGCGAATGCGATAGTACTCGTAATAAAACAAGAATCAACATTGGCTTAACTTTGCGGACATGGTGAGAACTAATTTATTTGAAAGGTTAAAAACCTGGTGTTTTTCTCATTCAACAGGAGAGTAAGGTACTTTATTGAAGAGGTTAATTTTCATGTTGAAAATGTTCATGCGTGTCACAGTCAAGCAGACCTGAAGCACAACCAAAACAATGTTCTTCTGTAAAATGCATGTTTTTTTTTTGGTTTGCTTTTTGTTTTTTTATTAGCTGCAACAGGGCCAAAAGTTACATAGTGTACCTTTAAGAAAATATAAAAATGAATGAATGTTTGAATTTTTAACAAAACAAATAAATCAATAAAATGTAATTTCACCTCCATGTATGACTGTGAGCTGAACATGAGTTTTTCCAGAGTTTTCCCAGAGATTAATTCCAGGGGAATATTCCACACACCATCAGAGTCGAGCCAGGGATCTGCCAGGAGCTTCACCACATTGGAATGACGCAATGACCTACAATAAGATCACTCGTGCAAAATATGAAATATATCATAAAAGGCAGTATCCAGGAAAAATGGATGAAGGATAATTTACAAATTTGGATGAATTAAACGCAGAATTGTGCTGCATTAGTTCATTTTAAATCCGTTTTTTGAGCGTATATACTCACCGATATATGTATTTCTCTTTCTGAATTTCTTCTTTAGTTACGACAGTACACGGCACCTTCTTAAGAGCTGCACGGGTATTTCCAAACGTTACTTTATACACCTTTCCAAAGTTTCCTTTATCATAAGTAGTAGCTGAAAAAGCCATCTGGAGAAACAATTCAAAATTCTGATTAATTCATTTAATTCATTGTAATTGAATTAATTGTATTGATGCTGAGAAATGTATCATCATGTTACATTACAATCTTCATCAAAGACCATGTGAACTGACATAATGCAATAGTGTTTATTTAGCTATTTAAAGATACAGGATATATAAAGGATGTGTGTGTGTCACTGATTTGTTTATTTTCTTTAATGTTCAAATTAAATTATTTATCTTTAAATGAATAATCTCTCTTTTAGACATTTTTACATTTAAAGTGGCTTGTCATATAATTTTTACCCCCCCTGGTTATCAGAGTTTCTTAAAGTCAATGTTAAACTTCAAACACTAGTTACAGGAAAAATGTAAAAAATGTTGTCCCTCTTGTTCTTAAATTCTGACCAATGTGTTTTTTTTCTTTCCTTATCCATTCCGGCAAGCCTCAAATCAGTTAGCAACTTTTGTCATTTTGTCATCTTTAAGACTCTATATGTATAATTACGTTGGATTAAAGGCAAAAAAAAAAAACAACAATTGTGGTATTTCAAAGAATTTTAAATGATCATTCAATCAAGAGCCATTAATAGCCAATGACAACCAATAACACAACCTCAAAAATTAATGAGAAATAAATTAACTTCTAAGGGGTTTGCATACACCTGATTCTGTCAAACATAATAATTCCTAGATCAAGACGTTTACTTGTAATGTAAATGTAATACATTATTTAAAGAAGTAGTAAGTGACTTACCACTGCAAACAAATTCAAGTCTTGAAAACAGCGTCTTGACAGACAGACAGAAAGACATAAATAAACCCTATCACCAGATGATTGCCACCCACGAGCAGTCAGATTTAAAAGTAAAACAGAAAGTAAAAAACTTTGAAGGGCAAAACCGTACAGATTACAAAATTTAGTTACACAATAAATAGTCAATTAAAAACATTCACTGATCAATTAAGCCATCAGTTGTTTACTCCATGATACAAGAAATAAAATGTCAATGCATTTCAATGCCACAGAAGTATAAAATGTCTCTAATCCATATGGATTCGACTGTCAAATGTTTTTGAATATCTGAATTGCATAGGCTATTTATTGAGACTGCTAACAGCAACACTCACCAGTAGGTAATTGAATGTTGAGCCACAGCTCATTGACTGCTTATGCAACAGCAAACAATAAACTGCGCGATATAGAAAATGATGTGATCACTATCAAATGAATTAAGGACCTATTCAGCCTGCGCCGTCTAGAGTTCCATGCCAGAACAAGGACACATAGGCTAGTCAGTAGAAAGAATCAACATCTAATTTGGATGAAGCACATAGTGGTCATTTTTATGTCCTATTCTATATTTCATTCGATATGAAACAGCACAGGAAAAAAAAAAAAAAAAAAAAAAAAAAAAAAAATTTCATTAATCGGTTAAAAGTTTTTAAAAAGAATGAAAAGCATGTCTTTGCAAAATGTTACAGAGGATAAAGTCTGTAGATCTTTATGCAGTCTGCAGTCTTGTGCATGGCATTAAATCACCTGGTAGATAGCCTAGGCCTACTTCCAAGATTCATTTTCTCTTTTCCAGTCATTGGTGATTAAGGTTTTCGGGAAATAATTTAACAGAAATTTGAGGGTTCATCAGTCGTATTAATAGATTTAATAATCTCCAATAAAGCAATAAAAAACACTTGAAGAACATTTTTCGGTTATGACGTATCTTTTTTTTTTTTAGCAGTGACAGAAAACTCTGAAATCCAACCTTATCATTACTTGAATTATTAAGGTTGATCCATAACTGTAAAAAAAAAAAAAGGTTGATCTAATTTTTGTGAATTGTAACTGTAATTCTCACTGCTGTCCACTTGGTGGCGACTGACTGACGAGTGCGGTCCTGCTCGACAATGTTTACAAGCAGTTTTATTAACGTATTTCTGTGGTTGAAACACCGATTGAGTGATTACATGAGATACATGATAGGGATTTCGGTAAGTCGTGACTGTATCTTTCAAGATATTTACTGATGTTCATTAATGTTTATTTTGTTTTGTAGGCCTACCATAGTAAAGAGGAAGTAGGCCTACACTCCAGGTGATTTCTCGCCCACGTTAAAGAGCACCAAAAAACGGTAGGCTTAAATAATGTTTGTATTTTGTGATAAAATTGACATAATTTGAAAGCTGACAGGTATGACAGGTCTGACTTTGTTTCATAACAAATCAATATCTAGTCACCTTTCCATTACTCAATAATATTAAGGCTACATGTATGAAAAAACTGAATGCATTAAATTGTCAAATGGATTTGATGTTGATACGATAATGGGAATAGCGATCGAATTTGTACACTTTAATGGCAATGTCAACACACCAGTTTATTGTCAAAAGAAATCACTCAGTATACACAGCGTTTCACTTATCAATCCTTACATGAGCTAAAAGTTGATGTCATGACTCAGAGTTGTGAGAAACGCCATATTAAATTACAGTATAGCAAAGCACATAAGTATACAGAATCAACATCTAATTTAGTTGAAGCAGAGCAGTCATCATAATATTATGTGTTATATACTTCATAAGATATGGAACAGCACAGAAATACATTTTCATAACATTTACATATTTTCAAGCAGCCTTTAATCGATCAATTCCTCCCTAATCCCTAGTAATGAAAAACTTAAATAAAATATCATGAAAAGTTAGTTCAAATAAGTTTTAATGGCAACATGTCAACAAATTATGGATTTCCAACTCAATTAACTGACAAAAGAAATCACTGAGAATACACAGCATATAACTTATAAACACTCACAAGTAGGCTACTTAGAATTTCATTACATGAATTATTACATTGATGTGGTGACTTAATCTGCCTTTAATAGTTTGAAAACCTGTACTCTTCAATTTCAACAGTCACCCCGTTCCTCACGACTGCACGTTGATATGTTTGAACACCTTGTTCAATGTTGTTGTGATATCGTGTCATTATCCCGTTTCTTGGTGCGGCCATGGACCTCTGGACGCTGTTGTTTGACTGAAACAATGCCTGCATTTAAGAGAAAATATAAAATAAGAAATGTTTTTCTACATGTTGTAACTTACTGACTGAACCTTTTGTTATTGGGTTTAGTTACAGTTAACAATGTCCTTAAGAAATATTGAAAAAAAATTAATTCCTTTCAGTTCATTCTTGTAAAAAAATTTATTTGGAATTTGTTTGTCGCTCTTACCAGAGGAAAGGGGTTGGGCTGTTCCTCAGGGTCACACTTACATTTATACCTTAAGTTTAAAAATGATTCGTTTAAGAAGAATTGATGCAGCTTGGAGTATGTTAAAACATTTATATTCGCACAGGTAAAAACAAATCTTCCAATGTACATTAAAAAGCCATAACTCATATGAAATAATACATACGGTAATGATCCATTGTAGTTTTTCATCAACCCACATTTATCACAGGATTTGGTTGCCTAGTGGTGTGATGAGAAGAATATGCCTTTTGTCACATATATTTTCATGCAATTCATTAGTATTTTATTTTTTTTGCTGTTTATCTATAAATATAACTTTATTTAGATTGCCAAAACCTTACACTAACAAAAATGTAATTTACATTTACCATTTTTCCAACCTACATTTATTTATTTACTTATTTATTTATTAAATGAAACGGAATTGTCTAAAAGAAATTGATTAAAATAAATTTTGAAGAAATTAATTTTTTACACAACAGCAAAGAATGAGCACATAAATATACTGTGTTTTATATAAATGTAATTCGCTATTTCCTTACCATTTTAGTTGGTAATGTTCCTCTGCAAAGTTGTGAAGGCAAAGAGACGCAACTTATTTCCTACAGAGATCTATATAATCGAATGTCAGAAACTCCGCCTATAGGAATGTTCAGAATGCTGCCGAGAAAGAAACAGAGATGAAGTTCATGAAAGAGAAACTTAACCTTTTTTTAAACCTCTATCTGTACCATCGGCTAGCTCTGAACACGCGTTCACTTCAAACGTTGGCTTTACGCTTTATACGCGCGTCCTATCCACAAGTTTCCTACGCCCCATGAGGCCTTGCGTCAAAAGTGGGCGCGACTTCCGGTTGGAAGTAAACAAAGCGCGACTTAACATGCTTGATACTAGTTTATTCAACAGTTGACAGTCATTCAAGTTATAGCGATCCAAACTAGCTAACGATGTGGGAACACAACCTCAACCGAATTCAAGAGGATGAAATAACAGTAACGTTACCTTTACCCTCCGCAGTGTATTATAATAACATTATTAATAATCAATACTCATCAAGGCATGGTGACAGACAGTTGTGTGAGCTGACAAACAATTAAAATAAAAAATACACACTTAGTCATTGTGCTTTGGAGTTTATTCAAAATTATAAATGAATGTGCTACTGGAATACATTAACTGGCACATTTGGTATTCTGTCAACACAGGCTTTGATCCTGAGTTTAGGTGTAACATCAGTAGCGAACAGCCAATCACATGCTGAGAGAGTTTATAGAATATTAAGAATTTAAACAAATGTACACAGGAAGATTCGACGTCTTTTGGGAGGTGATGGAAACTACAGTCGTTGGCAGGATCAGAGATGGGCTCTGGCAGGATCACTTCGTTTTCAGCTTGTGTTCAAAACAATCACGTTTAAGCCACTGAACTAGTTTAATCCGGTTATACATACAATCGCGAACAGCACATGTTGTCCCTGAGCTCCGTAACGACATCTCTTATAAAGATTTGCGTCTTTAAATAGTAAAATAATTCTCCGAAAAACAGCTAGCCTCTTTGCTAACTAACACACAAAATACCATTGGAATGCTACTTCCGCCGCGTCACCGGAAGTTTCACCCACTTTATTTTTTACAGGAGCGCCCCTCGGAAACTTGTGGATTCGCTGTGATCGCATAATCAACAGGCTGCGATGTCAAGATTGCAATGCTGGAGTGTGTGTGTGTGCGTGCGTGTGTGTGAGAGAGGGAGAGAGAGTGAGAGAGAGAGAGAGGGAGGCGCGTGCACGATAGAACCATTGGGACAGACAGTGGATTGGAAACATAAAAATCATAACTGTTACTCCGTCATTTTGTTCAGATCATTAAACCTGCAAACCTGTTTCCTTATATTTGTGTACACTCACAATAAAACACAACATTGTGCTTTTGTCACACTGTAAACTCTTGACAAACTGTAACCTTCAACTGTCAACCAACCAAAATCATATACACACACTGTTTTAAAAGCAAATCATATTTATCCAACGCCATTTCAAAACAGTCTGTGGGTCCCATCTTTTGGACATTCATATTGAATTGGTTTTCATTTCACATTTTACATTGATTAAAAAAGAAAATCGAATGTGTTTTTAATGGTAGTGTTATTTTATACAGAAATCAATTATTTATAATTCAGATGAGAATGATAGTAGCCTAAATTGTTAATTAAATTCTTAATTAAAATAAAGGAAAACAAATATATTGATCTGAAATATAGCTAAATAATTTTAAATTAATTCAGGTACAATATACCAAACATATCACAAGGTCTTTTTATTCATTCAATGAATTAACTAATTATATAAAACTATAGTCAGTGCACTACAAATAAACTGGTTTTATGCCTTTATTAATAAAACTTATTTAAAAAATAAAATGATTTCTGTATTTTTGTTTTGCTTTTCCCTCTATTGTACCCAAATCGTACCGAACCGTGAAGTCTGAACCGAGGTACCAAACAGTGATTTCTGTGTACCGTTCCCTACCTATTGTATACATTTTATATGTCCCACACTCCACCCAGTGTAGCCTAAAAAAACTACAACAAATTATGAAAAGAACCATGCAGTCCAATACCCTTACACAGTGTTTATGATGAAATGTTTTGAAACGTCATCACCTGAGCAGGTATCACTTGTCTTGGTCACGTAGAATAACTTTACATTACATGCCTGTAATGTAGAAAAATTTGATGAATTATCATAAACATTTTTGAGCTTAAAATATGAATGTGATCAAAAATGTGCTGTGTAAAAAATTGAGAAATTCCTTTAAATATTTGACCTAATTCATTTTAATGAATTGAATTAAGCCCATTTGTTTGTATTATTTAGTCATATTAAGAACTTTACATGCAAAGTTATTAAAGATGTCTTGTTTTATATTAAATGTCTTTGTCCTGTTCTCAAGCACCTCTTCTAGCCTGTGAAAGATTAACTTTTAGATTAAGATTAACCTCCTCCAACTATCTGTCAGCAGTAACGAAACTGAAAGTGAAAGTATTACAGACCAATATGGTTGCTAAGAGAGACTCGGCAACTCTCAGCTTCACAGGCTCATCTGAAGTACAGAAAAAGCCCCAAGCCTCTCTGCTGCATTTCATTATATATACAGACCTCATTTCATGTGTAAACATGAGTTCACAGTGGAAATTCACCTTAATCACCATCCCAGACTCGGGCAGAAGTTGATTTACATGGAACTATTTGCTAACAGTGGAAATTTTACACATTTCGAATGTTGTATAACATGATGGTAATCATTCACATTAAACCTTTTAGATTCTTATGTAAGTTTGGGTGATCTTCGCATGAGAAATGTAGATAAGGACCTTCTCAATAGTTTACGAGGGGGAGTTCAAGTGTTAATTTTCAGAAAGGTCCTTTTGTCCACTTGAGGATTGGTAGTTCCTTAACCAGTTTTTCCAGTCTTACAGATTTTTCAGCATAAACCAAAAACAGTAAGTAAATAAGTGAAATCAAGTATGTGTGTGCAGCTTTACCCATTGTTTCAGATTTATTAATGCCACCCACACTTATAAAGTCATCTGTTCTTTTCACACTACACAGCATCACAAATGTCATTTTAAGTCAAAACACGTTTCTTGAAGTTACAGACAGGTCTATTGCAGAGGCTTCACAATTATATCTCACTGTTATAAAGGTATACATTCCTAATACATGCATTACATTTTAATGTGCATGCGTTTAGTTTTTAATCTTTAGTTTTTAATCTTGTCAAACTTCAAGCACTTACAGGAAAAGTGTAAAAAATGTTGTCCCTCTTGTTTTTCCTGTTGCATGCGAGATTCAATACATGCTGCTCATGTGATTTTTTTTCTGTCGCAGTTTAAGGAGTCAAGATTAAGATGAGTCAAAAGAGCCAATCCAAATGTATTTAAAAAAAAAAAAAAAACTTGGATAATCCAACGCAGTGTACCACACACAAACAATAGCCAACAAGGAACTGAGGAAACACAGGAACTTAAAAAATGATTTGCGTGGTGTGAATTTCTTGCATGGGCTTGAGCTGTGTATTGGATTATTATACATTATGATACATGACTCATCAATTTCAAGCGCAAATTATCCGGTTAGACATCATTATCAGCCTATGAGTGAAATTTTACTCAATCTGTTTCTTACATTTATTCATTTAGCTGACGCTTTTATCCAATGCGACTTACAATTGCTGTCTATGTCAGAGGTTGCACGCCTTTCTTGCACGTTTTCTTGCTCAGGGACACATTGGTGTCTCACAGTGGATTCGAACCCGGGTCTCTCACACCAAAGGGACGTGTCTTATCCACTGCGCCATCATTTATACCAACGCATTCTCACCCCAAGGCGTCACCTTTGACCATGCTTCAATATTTGACGTTTTAGGTGCCCTTTAGCGTCACTTACATGACACGATCCTACGGCGTCATCTAACTGACGCTAAAGGAAAGCGTCTGTTAGAGGACGCGGTTAGGTTTAGGTGTGGGGTGGGGGTAGGGTACACGCGATCCTAGGGCGTCATCTAACTGACGCTAAAGGGTGCCTAAAGCGTCAGATATTGAAGCATGTCCAAATGCTTCCCAAGGCGTCAGTTAGGTGACGCCTTGGGGGTGAGAATGGGCTGTTTATACTCAATACATGTCTCTATCAACTCTAAAGGGTACAATAACTGAAGAAAAATAGATGTCTGAGAGATATTAAGCCCTGCAGTGTGACATGTGAAATCACATTACATCATGAGACAGTTAAAATAGGATCAATATATATTTATTTATTTTAAGTATGGTAAATTACATAGCAGACAGTGATTTAAAGTGATTTTACATCCAGTTAAATGTATTTAACACAAAAATGTGTCTGGTTTCCTTGTGTTTTTCACAAAATTAATGAATATTGCTATATTCCCGCTGACAATATACATAGAGTTTTAATACATTTACTTCCAACTTTTATTATGGTGAATAAAAGATGATTTTCTCACTGGCTATAGCTCTGCCATCCCTTCGAATGACCATAGAAAATGTTTGAACGCCATCTTGTATATAGGAGTGAGTAACCACACCATTTTTTGGCAAGGCTACTATGGGAGTTGTGTAGTTGTTTTGTGCTGGAAACGATGCCTAAATGAAGAATGCAAAAAAAAAAAAAAAAAATCCTTTTAAGGGTTTTCTTTCAAACATCTGGTCCTTGGGTCCTAAACTGTTTCTCCCCTATAGTGAATTATGCATCGGATTAAGCCTTAAAAGTGCATTACTGCACCTAACTTCCTCTTTCCATTTGACTGTATAAAGTTTATATGTCCCACACTCCACCAAAAACGACTTCAAGCTTTATCTTGGTTTGCAATCCAAAAAACTTACACAGTATTCATAAAGAAGTGAAATGTGTCATTACCTGAGTAGGTTTCACTTGTCTTTGTCCATAAGAATAACAATCATGCCTATAAGTGTAGAAAATGGGTGATTTATCATAAACAGTAATGAGCTTAAAATGTTAAAATATATTTTAAAATGCAGGTGTGAAAAATGCTAAATTTATTAATTGACTGTTACCCACCCACATGTCCAGCATCTAGGGTTTTGATGATGGTTCATTTTTCAGAGATGTCTGAAATTATATGCAGAAAGCAGTGATAACTGTTAATTTAAATCTAAAATAATTATATTTAATAAAATTCTTATTAAATAAAATTCTGATATATACACTCAAAAAAAAATTATGTTGGCTTTAATTATTTATTTTAACAGGTTCCACATAATTGGATTACGTTAAACAAACATAATTTGTTCGTGTAACTTCAACATAATAGAATTATGTAATTGTAAATTACCCAATTTAAGTAGTCTCAATGTGACATGATTCAAAGCCATTTTATTATATTTATTCATCGATTGATATTTCATTTGATTCAGTGACATTTAATAAAAATTGATAGACTTTAGCTAGCTATTTGTTAGCATATATTAGCATCTTGAATGCTAAACTTTACATGCCCCTTCATCCAAAACAATAGAAAATAATGAAATCAGTCGACAGGCAAACAAAATGCTCCACTCTTCTCCAGACAAAATAATTCAGTAAGTAATAATCAGTAATAGTTTAAGCAGAGCATATGTATGTAATCAGAGCATATCAGTAAAATGTTTACCTAATAATGATTCCTATAAGTAAAAAAAAAAAAAAAAAACTATATTTGTTTGTATTATTTAGCCACATAAAGAACTTCACATCTATTTATAACAGGACTAATAATAATTGTATATTTACTCACAGTTTTTGTCCGGTTTTCAAGCACCTCTTTAAGCCTGTGAAAGATCAGCTTAGAGAAACAACAGCTCCTCTGACTATCTTCAGCAGTAATGAGAAACTGAAAGTATTACTGCAAGTATAAATCACACAGAATTTTTAAAAGAAAGCATGTGTGTGTGTGTGTGTGTGTGTGTGTGTGTGTGTGTTTCAATTGGTGATGATTTTTCAGCATAAACCAAAAACTGGCTGTACTGAATGTCCAGAAAAGTACGTCAGGAAAAAAAAAATTGGTAACACTTCACAATAAGGTCCATTAGTTAACTACATTAGTTAACATAAACTTAGAATGAACAATACTTCTTCAGCATTTGTTTATCTTAGTTTCTTTCAACATCATTTCAACATTTACTAATACATTATTAAAATATAACAAATGTTGTATTTGTTAACAGCTAATCTGTGAACGAACATGAACATACTTAACCTTATAATGAACTGCATTTTTAATATCTAACATGAACAACTATTGTAGATACTGTAACAAATTCTCATTGTTATGTCAGTTAATAACTAATGTTAACTAATGAACCTTATTGTAAAGTGTTATCAAAAAATGTATCTAAAAGTAAGTGTCAATTACCCAGCATTTGCTGTCAGACACGTTAAACCGCTCAAGAATGTCATTCTTGTTTAAAAATAATGCTATTGTCCATTTTGTGTATTAGTGGATTATGAGTGAAATTTTACACAATACTGTTTCTAATGTATCCCCCGAGGTGCTGAAGATATTTTGACATTTTTTTCTGCAAGTGTTTATTTTTGTTAAAGTTTCTGGACTAATGCACGTTGCAAATTGCAAAAACTGAAAATTTGATGAGTTTGACTAAATTAAGTTGAAAAAGCTAAAACTGGATCAGCTGGCCACTCTCTTTTTAAAGGCTGTAGTGAGACCTGCGCTTAAATAGATTTTAGGCATTTTAACGATGGCATGTGCACATCTTTTGTCATAAATGATGTTGGCATATAGATATACTAACCATAATCATAATAAAATTAGTTAATATAATTATATTTTATGGGAAATAATGTAGAAAGAATTATTTTAAAAGTTTCATTCAATTAAAAAATATATAAAATTAAGACAAAAAAATAAGATAAACATCACAGTGAGAACATAACATGCTTTTGTCGAAGTAAAATGTACTGAGTTATTGTGAAATAAACTAAACTAAACTAACTGCTATTTTAATTTAAAATGAAACTATGGTTTTGTTGGGTGTATTTGTGTATAGATGGATGATTCTGCTATTTCTAGATTCCTGTGTGCATTTGTTGATAGGCTACTGTTTATCCTCAAAACATGTCTCTATCAACTCCATACAGTAACTGATTAAAAATAGATGTCAGAGAAGTCCTACTGTGTGAAATGTGTTTTGCTTAGAAATCACATCACATCATAAAACAGTGTTTACATTAAAAAATTTCAAGCATGTGCGTGCAGCTTTGCCCATTGTTTCTTATCTGTTAATGCCGCCCACAGTTACAATACTTGTCAGTCATCTGATTCTTTAGAATAAACATGCATTACATTTCTAAGGTGCATGTCTTATTGTGTTTCGTTTTTAACGCAACTGGTTATCAGAGTTAAACTTCAAGCACTAGTTACAGGAAAAGTGTGAAAAAATGTTGTTTCTCTTGTTTTTTTTTTGTCTGGGTATGTTCAACACATTCTCAAACTGACGCTTTTGGCAATGCTTATACATCCAACGCACATGGCAACCTTATAGACCATTTCACAAGATGTAAACAACACTGGTCCAGAAACACTTCCTGTTTCAGTTTGTAACTGTTTTCTTTATTTCACATTTAAAGAAAACATCTTAAATATGTTTGTTTAACTTTTTAATTCAGTTTTAAATGTTCTGTTGGTTGTATTTTATCCCAGCTTTTATGTAGTGTTAAAAAACTGAAACAGGAAGTGCTTCTGGACCAGTGTTGTTTACATCTTGTGAAATGGTCTATAACACGCAGAGAGTAGGTGTAAGTCTGGGTTAGGGATAGGGTTAGACCACTAGGAGGCGCCTTCTGGCCCATATATATCTGCGTCTCATATTGACGCTAATGGTAGCCATGTGCGTTGGATGTCTACGCTTTGGCAAAAGCGTTGTATATGACGACTTGGGATGAGACCGGCTGGTATGTTTTGATGTCTTAAGGTTCAACATGCTGCTCATGTAATTTTTTCTTTCATTATCGACTCCACAAGCCTAAAATTAGTGTTAATACATTTTTAATGAGCATTAGTGGTTCTGTAAAATGTGTCATCTTTAAGACACTAATTGTAAATATTTTCCATTTCTATGTATCAGGATTCTGGTGTGTTCTAGTAAAACTCACAAAGTTTCAAAAAAGTCCCAGAAAATCACAGGAGAATATAAACTGCATGAACACACTCTTCTTAAAGATGATACAGGACAAATAATTAAACAACTGATACAGTTTAAGGAGTCCAAGACAAAGATTTGTCAAAAGATCCAATCCAAATGTATTTAATAAAAGAACAAGCCCAGATAATTCATTGTTTATTTTAACATTGCCGAGTTCAGCATCTTCAATAAAATGTGTGATTGGCCTATATACTACAAATTATTAATCAGAAAAACAACAACTTTTTTTTTTATATTTCACTGGTTTGTACTTTACATCAATGGCAAAAAACAAACAAAACTGCGGAATGAACGTAAACAAGATCTTAACAAAGACAAAGATCTAAAATAAAAATTTCATAGTCACCAGCCTGTGCTTTCTTTAAAAAACAAAAACTCATCTCCCATGTAAAATAAAATGAAGTTCACCAAATCAACATTTTTTCAGAACAAGAGTGTTATTCTTAAGAATTTTTGGTTATTTGCACTTTCTCATATTTAATGATTTTCCCTCCCCTCGTGACAATCTCTTTGTATTCCAGAGCTCCTTTCTCATCAATGTAGCGTTCCTGAGTCACTTTTCCAGTTTCTGGGAGCTGGCAAGGAAATGACATCAGGGACATCTGATGGTTTAAGGCCTGACCTTTAGCTGGGACTAATGCCTTTCCCAACTCTCTCTGTGGAAGTGGATCCCGTCGATAATATAACAAAGGAGATTTTCTTTCATCCATCTTAGGAACAGGAGCTGCAGCTGGATACAACTTTTGATTTGCCCTAATTTCATTTACATGTGTAAAGTCTCTTGGGATGTCTCTTGGGATGTCTCTTGGGATGTCTCTTGGGATGTCTCTTGTGATGTCTCTTTGTCTGATGTCTGCCTGTTGACCTGAACCAGCTCTCCTGATGTCTCCGATGACTCCAGCCATAGAAGTTCTGTTGGCGGGATTGACTTCCACCATCTTGGACACTGAACTACAGTATGGTGAAGTGCACAGAGTTTCACGAATCTTGATTGCAGACACAGATTGGGTGGGTAACCTGACCCTGGCACAGAGTTCAGCTATGAGTTTACCCATGGCCCAAACGTCCGATCGCTTGTCCCGAACTCCACCCATCTGCAGGACCTCGGGAGGTGAGTACGCTTCATTGCCCAAGTTAACAGCAGAGCTGAGTCCGTTTCTGTAGAATTTAGCCAGTCCCAAATCAATGATCACGGCCCGATGGGTTTGATACTCCACCTGAAATGGGATGGGAGAAGTTAGTTTCTTTGCTTATGTTCTAGGAAAGAAACCAATCAATTTAGACCAATTCAATTATTCTGTCTACCCCTTAATCAGGGTTCTTAAGTCTCGCGCATTGGCCGTAAGACACACGCAATTCAACCAGTTCACACGCCACACCGTGTATTTCTCACGCTGAAAAGGCAATGCCAACCAAGTTGTCCTTGAACACCATACTAATACTGTGTTTGACCCCCTTTCGCCTTCAGAAGTGCCTTAATTCTACGTGGCATTGAATCAACAAGCATTCTTTAGAAATGTTGGCCCATATTGATAGGACAGCATCTTGCAGTTGATGGAGATTTGTGGGATGCACATCGAGGGCACGAAGCTCCCGTTCCACCACATCCCAAAGATGCTCTATTGGGTTGAGATCTGGGGACTGTGGGGGTCATTTTAGTACAGTGAACTCATTGTCATGTTCAAGAAACCAATTTGAAATGATTCAAGCTTTGTGACATGGTGCATATCCTGCTGGAAGTAGCCAACAGAGGATGGGAAGAATATTTTACTAATCTAAAAATCATTTTCCACTATAAAGAAAAGATTCCATGGATGTTGAAGGATCGTCATGGAACCAAAGATGTCAGATGACAGGACCTTTATTTTTACTTAAATGAAATCTAGTTGAGAACCACACAGTTTTTTGTGTGTGTGTGTGTGTGTGTGTGTTTTTTAAAGTAACCTCTGAGCAATAACCAATATAAACTTATTTTCTTGGTCCACTGATGAACATTTGTGTCTGACTCACCATGACGTTGTCAGGTTTGAGGTCTTGGTGGACGATGTCTTTACTGTGCAGATAAAGCAAACCCTCACACATACCAGTGATGATTGTGGCTCTCACTGCTGGCGTCAGCTGAAGAAGACACAATGTTGAATTTTGGCTCCACTAATACATAAACTAAACCCAAGTCAAGAATGCATTTTATTAAGATGCAAATTTAGTCATCAGTTCTCATGTCACTTGCCACATGAAACAATGTGCAAAGACCATCATACAAATCCTGATATAAGGATGAGGAAAATGATGACAGAATTATCAGAGCTGTGTCACACATCTTTACCTGTATTTTAGAAAGCTGAACTTTGAAGATGGTCGTCTCAAGATCTTCCCCAGTGATGAACTCCAAAGGAATGTTCCACTTGGAGTCTTTCAGCCAAGGATCACCGAGAAGCTTCACCACGTTTGTATGCCGAGCATTACTGTTAAAATAGTGTGTTTTGATTTTAAGCTCAGTATTTAAAAATGAAGAAATATAAAATATATATATATACATACTGATAGACTTTGCATTCTCTCTCCAGCTGTTGTCTGCTGATGAGGCTAAGGGGAACTCTCTTCACAGCAGCCCATGCGTCTCCAAACTTCTCCTTGTATATTTTCCCAAAGCAGCCTCCGGCGAGTGTTTGTGTGGAGTACGCCATCTGGTGAATACACAGCAATATGAAAAACTAGAAACCTTCCAAACTCAAATGTTTTCATTATCTTCTTCTCACTTCTCATGAACTCGGTTTATCTACAAAAGTAAACAGTAAAAATAATAATAATAATTGTATCTAATTTTTATCTATCCATCTATCTATCTATCTATCTATCTATCTATTTTGTGACATTGTTTGTTTTTATATGAATGTGAAATTTATTCAAAACAGGACTGTCTTGAAATAGATATTACCAGCAGCACATAAAATGTAATATAGGTTATCTGGTATGTTTACAGGAAATAGTCAACTAATGAAATCACGTGGATATGTCTCTGTTGTAAAGTCATAAAGTTATAGAGCTTTTCTTCAGAATTCCAGACATTTTAATTATCAAGAAAGATGAATGCAAACCTTTACATATGTAGCAGAATTTTTTTTACAGCTAAACGACTCATTAGCACACATCCATTAACACGGGGAATTTCGCTGGAATGCCTTTGGGCAAAACCTGCTTGTAATGAGCCTGTACATGTAACTGGAAAATGTTGTCAAACTGGATCAGGACTGCGAAAGAAATAATTCAAACACGATAAAATCAAGTCATCTTTTCTTTTATGGCCGAAAATTTGGTGGCGTTACCTCCTACCCCCCTCCCACCCTTGAAAACAAAATAGTTTCAGCATGTTTCCACCCATACCTCAGTGTTACGTTTATCTAATGATCACAAATACATTATAGTAATTACATGGGCAAAATATGTGGTACCTTGATACCTATAAACCTGAAGAAACTGCAACATCAAACATGTCATCAATTGAAATAAATATCATTGTAATAAAACATCCAGCTGTCATCCCTTCATAATAGTAAAAGACAATAACAGTTTGATTCACATCAAACTGTCATTGCATTTTCTTACCTGTGTCAGCAGGTTATGCGGATGGCACCGAATGTCCTGAAATAAAACAGAAACAGTTCTTGCTAATTATCTTACTTCTATAACCACACCCACATATTTCAACACAGGGAAGTACACCTGAAGACGACATAACCAGTCAGATAAGGGGGAAAACAGTGTTGCTTAACATACAGCTGAGACTGTGTTCTGGGAGATGTATATGGGTGTATTGTATACAAATAATATATTGTATTTATTTTCTTTTTCTATTTTCACAATGTGTCCAGAGGAGATATGTAAACAGATTATAATAGGTTTTCATGGTTAAACTAACCATGACATCGTCTTAAAAGAAGAACCATGCCAGTCAAGTCAGAACAAGACAGTGTTGAGCAAGAACAGGCAGTCCTCCAAAATCCTCTTGAATCTGCTTTGTTTCTGGTACAATAGGACTAAAATGGAAGTAAAATAATGGCAAATGTTTTTGAAAGAAACAATCAGTTTTTTGTTTAAAAACAAATTGGCGTTATTTGACTCAGAACATCAGAGGGGAATCATGATTGACAAATAAATACCAGCTATTTGCATAGATGGACATATAAATAGGTTTATTGGGAATTGTAAGTCTCTCTGGGTATTATTATATTATTATTTATGATATCAACATGAAAACGTAGAGCATAGAAGGAATGATATTATCATAAATGTACTGAGCAGCGTATTTGGATAAAAATGTAAAAATTTTATTTTCTTTAACAAAATAGTTTACATTAAAACTCCATATTCCAGGTGTTTCTTCTGGTTTTCCTCTTAATCTGTTTCCTTCCTATAAATAAACAATGCCATTGAACTGAATGGACTCGCAAATTTGGCTGAATATTTCTGCTGAAAAATGGTCGAGTTTTGGTCTGTACTAATCGGTCGCATCGGGAAAATACCTTTCGTACTATATAGACTGCCAAAAGTTAAGAGAAGAGTGCAAAAATGTCAATGTCATATGTCCTGGTATTTGAATGGGATTTCAAAACACATTTGGATGTAGCTTGAAATGGATTGCATGTGCTTTTTGGGCTGACAATCTGAATGTAGCCCATGTCGGATTAAGAAATAGAAGGAAGAATTGCAGTACAGGCACATATTAACTTTAGTTTGTCAAAATTTTGCGCTACCTCCTGCTTGAAAAGTACTTCTCTATATGATTTCGCACCTACCACGGGTTTTTTCTCTGTTTTCTTTAGTGTAACAATGTGTTCAGTTAAGTTAAGTACATAAACAGTGCAATCCATGCTGTTGTTTACGTTTAGCACTACACTTACTGCAATCTCGGTCCTGGAGGGCCACTGTCCCTGCAGAGATTAGCTCCAACCCCGATCAAACACACCTTTTCTACTGATCCTGAAGACCTTGATTAGCTTGCTCAGGTATGTTTGATCAGGGTTGGAGCTAAACTGCAGGGACAGTGGCCCTTCAGGACTGATATTGGGGAACCCTGGTCTATGCGTTTACATCCGAGTGCCTCCATAATGACCGCTCATCCGGGTTACCGCCCAGAATGTGACGTCAGTGTAGCATCAGATCAGCAAAAAATAAAAAAATAAAAAATAAATAGATAAAATAAATAAACGACAGCAGCAAGCGGCCCCTGCTTGCCCATATTGTAAAGTTTGGACGAAAGAGAAAGTCTGTAGAGGAAAGAGCAGAGACTCTACGCTGGACTCTAAGAAGGATAAATATAGCGTCCACCATTGACCGTTGGAGGAAGCTTCAGGGAGATCTGGGACTGAAAAAAACATAGCTGAAAACCGACGCTCGCTGACACGAATGACTTTTTGTTGAGCAGGTAAACATTTATTTATACTTTCATGGTGTGACGTGTTACATTAATAGCTTTTTATCAGTCTGACACAATTCAACATTCCAATCTGTAAAATGAAGCCTATAAGTGTGAAAAACTGTAATACACCTAAAATCCGCTAGAGGGGGGGGTCCCAAAAGGGAGCAAATATCCATAGATCCTATGTTAAAATGTCCGTTTTCACAGCATAAATTCATGTTTTTACAGGTTAGTCCCATGGACATTTATTGTATTTTCGGATAGGTTCGGAGTGCCTGACAACTGTGAGGGGGGTGAATTTTTTTCTAACTCGTTAGTTTAGATCGTATTTAGGTATGACAAAGGGCGTTTAACTTTGATTGACAGCTGATAACGGGCTGCACCGAGTGGAATTTGATGTCTCGGCCATGATCTGACACAACACATCATACCACCTGTGTATCCTTTCTGAACATTTGTATTTTGTATTTCTCAAGATTTTCTAATACCGCGCATGTACTTTCCTGTTATCCGGACCCCACCATACCATTTAGGAACTATAGTCATCCCTGATTGGTCTTAACCCCAGGTAGGTTTAGTGGCGGGTTTAGGGTTAGGCCATCGTCCCTGATTGGTCTTAACCCCAGTGACGGGTAGGTTTAGGGGCGGGGTTAGGGGTAGGCCATCATCCCTGACTGGTCTTAACCCCAGTGACTGGTAGGTTTAGGGGCGGGGTTATGGGTAGGCCATTGTAGGGTCCTGATAACAGGAAAGTACCATGGCGCCGCCCATACCCCCCATAAACAGCCTCAAAACTGTTCTTCAGAAAGTCTGTGGGTGACGTCACAGACGCTTTGTCCATTTTTTTTACAGTCTATGGTCTGACAACATGCTCATGCTGCCGGTCGGCATTGGAATGTTAGCCGTTTAGCATCGCCTATCATGGGTCAAAGTAATTATATTTCTTGAAGTGCTTGAATATATTTCAGTTTACTACCGGTGATCACAGCTTTGACCTACCAGCGTCAGCTACACTAGACAAGCTTTAGAAGAGGGAAGGCCAGAAAACGGACCCCGAGGTTGCCTTGTTTCTGCTCCATTCTTGAGTAACATTGGATTTGAGTGTCATTGTTTGTCCAAAGCTGGGGCCTGTAGCATGATGGCAGGGTTACAGGATTAGTTTCGAGTTGACAAAAACAAACCGTTCATGATGCTGATCATCAACACCAACAAAGTTGTTGTATGCTCTCTTACAACCAGCCTATATGTGTGTCAGCTGTCATATGAAAACAAGAAATCGTCTCCGATAACCTATCTCTTAGATGGTATTTAGGAGTGGTTGGTTTTTAATGACCCTAGTCATAAAGGCTTCCTCCATACTGTCTGTAAGGGGATTTACAGTTTAAAGACCAAGGATCAGATATGATGAAAAGAGACCAGGAGTCTTAAGGTTCAATCAAATAGATCACAGCAGTTATACCATTTCCAAGGTAAAAGCTACGTCATTGCTTACAGGTTAATGATTTTCATTAGCTAGGAAATAGATAAACATAGCAATTTTCCACACATACAGATAGACGGAAGCATTATGCAGCTGACACTTGGAAGTTAGGCATGTCATGTTGCATGTTTGGGTTGCTGGGTCCCTAGAACAACAACTCAGTCAATCTCCAATAATGCCAGAAGTTCCTTAACCTGTAACCAAGAAGACTAACACACACACACTGACGCACAGCTTTACCAAGGTTGGATTTGGCCAGGCTCTAACTATAAACAGGAGAGTCCTCTAGCTTTTCCTAACTAGAAAGAAAGGGTTCACCAAAGAAACGGTGCCTTAAACTATTGGCTTCCATGACCCCTATATAACACGTTGAAGACCTTTCTCAAACACGAAACAAGTCCCAATTTCAAATCTGGAAGCCGGTCTAATTAAATCAAGCACTGTTACTGCATTCAGATATCAAATACAGACAGACAAGGAACATTTCAGTAATCACACTGGTAGCTTTTATAACAAAGAAATCTCCGGAGAGGTCATTCAACTCATTTGATATTTAGAAGGAAAAATGTTGATTAATACCTTGATTATAATTACTCATTACACATACATTGAAGCAGCAGTGGATTCCAATCCACCCCCTTCAAGTCAAAGGTACATGCAACCTACACACACACAACACCGCTTGTTGAGTTCAACATTGAAATCCAACAGATGGCAGCGTTGTACCAAAGTGATATTGTATATCTTATATGAAGCTCGTTTTAATTTTGAACCACAGCTTTGAAAGCGCGAGTTACTGGATTAGTAATTAATATTAATTTAGTGCGTGTCTTGAACCATCTCATATGGGCTTTTCATTCTGAAACCTCACCTGTCATGCATCTGTTATTATTTATTCTTCTATATCTCTTTCCAATTCCATATTGATTTGTTTGGTGTTTGCTTTTGACTTTTTTGGAGGGGACTATCCTGTATAGAAAGAAATTGTGTGGTTTGTATCATTTGTAAATGAATGGAAGAACATCTTTTTCTTTAGAAATTATAGGCCAGATGTGCAAGCTATTATTATGCTAATACTGCCTCAAACACGTATTATTTGTCATTTATACTTTCTTCCCTGATGGCAGTAGCCAAAGCATGAGAGAAAATCTGATTGAATTATGGTCTGCCCACTCTGATCTCCAAAATAACCATTTAATTTATCAGATTGCTCTGTGGCTTGATGGTGATGAGGGACATTGAGCTGGCAGGCTTGTAAAGCAGTAGGTCAGATTGCTGGAGGCAGAAACGCTACAAGACCATGGCATCCTCAGTGTTGGTGGCCCAGTGGACTGACTGCATGTAGAAGCCAGTATGAGCTCAAGTATGAGGACCAATCAAAACTGAAACTGCTTTTATACACATACAAACCTACCTTTAATATACACTCACCTAAAGGATTATTAGGAACACCATACTAATACTATCACCTTCAGAACTGCCTTAATTCTACGTGGCATTGATTCAACAAGCATTCTTTAGAAATGTTGGCCCATATTGATAGGATAGCATCTTGCAGTTGATGGAGATTTGTGGGATGCACATCGAGGGCACAAAGCTCCCGTTCCACCACATCCCAAAGATGCTCTATTGGGTTGAGATCTGGGGACTTTATGACATTGTTGTATGATTTCCACATCCAATGATTCTCACAACAAAAACATTGGCATTGTTTCTCGAATGCCTCTAATGAAGTGTATTCATGGACAGTGCCTTCTGCTGATATTAAGCATTTGATATTGTATCCTTGA